GTTTCATAAAGAGGACATATATGCTCGTCGAAGATGGAAACAAGTTCAGTACATCTCAGACTTGTTTTGGAAACGATGGATTAAGGAGTACTTGCCTCTACTCCAGGAACGACAGAAGTGGTCAAATGTCAAGCGCAACTTCATACCAGGAGATATTGTGCTCATAGTTGATGACTCAGCACCTCGCAACTCATGGCTTACAGGAAGGATTGTACAAACCATTCCAGACAGAAGAGGACTTGTACGTCAGGTGCGAGTGAAGACAAAAACTAGCTATCTAGACAGGCCTATCACAAAGATCTGCCTTCTACAGGAAGCAGAAGAGCCGTGAGGAAATTAGTGGGTTATTGAACTTCATAGACCTTGACATTGACGTTTTTTCCGACTTTTTACTAAGTGATAGTAAAGATCACTCCTTCATAGGCTAACAAACTATATATTTTTATTTTATTTTTTATTTTTCAATTTTTTTTGCCTAAAGAAGAAAAGGACACTTTAACAAAGGACGTTTTTATCCTTAAAAGTTTTTTCCTTGATTGTCTCCTACATCATTTTTCAGTTGTGTAATTATTATGTTGATATAATTAGGGGCCGGAATGTAGGAGCCACATTTGAAGTAGTAGTTTCTGTGTTTATTACGGTCAGAGTTGGGTGTAACGCGTTACAAAGTAATATTACTTTTGTCGGTAACGGAGTAGTGTAACGCGTTACTTTTATAATTCAGTAATCACACTACAGTTACTAACATTGCCCCGACACGCGTTACTTCGTTACTTTTATAAAATCAGTCATAATCACACTGACAGACAAGAGGGGTTTCCGCCGCAGGTTTATATGTACGTAATCTGCGCGACTTGCGCGTCCACATCTCCACGTGCAGTGCTGCATAAACATGGCAGAGTCAGCGATAACTTTCGAGGGGTGGAGGTATGCCCATTATTTTGAGTTCGTCCGAAGAATAGACACGAATGTGACGGTGAGGTGCAAACTGTGTCCAGGCCAGAAGCTGTTATCCACTGCTGCAAACACCACGTCAAACCTCAACAAACACCTGCAAAGAACACATGCTAAGGTGAAGCTAATAGCTAAGGACCCCCGAACCCAGAGTGAGGATGTTGTGAGTCGCCGCCGCCGACTCCGAAGCAGCACAAATTAGAATTTGGAGGACCGGTAACCAAAGCAGAAATGGACAGGCTTGTAGCATCCTTCATAGTAGAGGTAATGTTGCCCATTTGCACAGTGGAATCACCATCGCATCGTTCAGAGATATACTGCGCAAAATACAGATAGCAGGAGACAGAGGACAGCCATAGTCAGAGCTATCTGGGTCAGTCTTATGCGACAATGGAAACTGAACTAAAGAGAACATTTGAAACTTTAGCAGTCTGCGTGATCTGCCTGTAGGGAGGGGCGGGCCGGCCCTGCGAGTAAAGTAACGAGTAAAGTAACGAGTAAAGTAACGAGTTACTTTATGTAGAGAGTAACGAAGTAGTGTAATATATTACTTTTTTTTAAAGTAATATGTAATATGTAATATATTACTTTTTTTTAGTAACGACCCCATCTCTGATTACGGTACATGTTTTTGAGTCACTATAGGTGGTGGGCGTGTCAAAGGATTTGGGTGGTGACGTTTGCGGTTATATCCGGTTGCTTTTACCTGCACACTTTGTGATAGATGGAGGGGGAGTGAGCTGGAGAAGGACAATTTTTGTTGACCGCACGCACGCACGCATGCACACATGCACGCATAAAAGAATATATGGATATGGACTATTGAACTTTTGCTTGAAAAATAAAAGGTCAAACGCATACTGTTGGAAAGACTGAGTTTTTGCGCGTCCACAGTGTTTTTCTCTTGTTTAGTCCCTCACGGCACTTTGTTTGAAAGATTACTGCCGCAATATAGACTTCTTGCACTATTTCTTATTTGTATTTTTGTATGTTATTATATATGTTGCATTGTTGGAGGAGCTCAGGTCAGAAGAATTGCATTGCCATTTCTACACTGTAGCTGCTGAGCATCTGATGATAAAACCTTTGAATCTCTAACCCAACTGGCTGTTAGTCGTCATGCTGCTTCCCTGATGGCTCCCACAGGATTGTTCTTGACATCCTCGTGGATTCATCTTCTTATTGTAGACACATGCATTTCCAAACATTCGGTCTACCTATGCTGTAAAATGTATTATCTCTTCGATTTACACACGGCATCTATTGCACGTCTGTCCGTCCTGGGAGAGGGATCCCTCCTCTGTTGCTCTCCCTGAGGTTTCTCCCATGTTCCTTTAAACTGTGGGGTTTCTCTCTGAAGTGTTTCCTTGTACGATGTGAGGGTCTAAGGACAGATGGTCTAAGGACAGAGGGTCTAAGGACAGAGGGTCTAAGGACAGAGGGTGTCGTTTTCTCATACTGATATTCTGTACAAACTGTGCTGTTGTATTTGTTGTAAAGTGTCCTTACTGTAAGGTAATTATTATATGTGCAGCACTTTGGCTCGACCAAAAATCGTTTTAAAAATGTGCTATATAAATAAAACTTGATTTGATTTGATTTGGTGCAGAGCTAATGTTGCAAACCAAATAGAAAAAGGGGTTAATAAAGAAACCGAGGAAGTTAGGGATACTTTTATTTGGGAGCCAGCAAGGTGGCGAAAAGAAGCGTACCCAACTCAACTCACAACTAGGATCATTTTCATGAGAAGCATTTCATCAATTCCTGTCCCCTGGTCTGGAGGTCAATAGTTTTCTGAATGTGTTTTTGGTTGATATCCTGAAATCAGGTCTGTGGTTAGCTACCTTTAGCTTAGCGGTGGTAACGTGAAGTCATGTGACCGTGCTGTAGTTCCTTTATAGCCCAACATTAGCCTCCTTTAGCTTAGCGGTGGTGACGTGAAGTCATGTGACCGTGCTGTAGTTCCTTTAGAGCCCAACATTAGTCACCTTTAGCTTAGCGGTGGTGACGTGAAGTCATGTGACCGTGCTGTAGTTCCTTTAGAGCCCAACATTAGTCACCTTTAGCTTAGCGGTGGTGACGTGAAGTCATGTGACCGTGCTGTAGTTCCTTTATAGCCCAACATTAGCCTCCTTTAGCTTAGCGGTGGTGACGTGAAGTCATGTGACCGTGCTGTAGCTCCTTTATAGCCCAACATTAGCCACCTTTAGCTTAGCGGTGGTGACGTGAAGTCATGTGACCGTGCTGTAGTTCCTTTATAGCCCAACATTAGCCTCCTTTAGCTTAGCGGTGGTGACGTGAAGTCATGTGACCGTGCTGTAGCTCCTTTATAGCCCAACATTAGCCACCTTTAGCTTAGCGGTGGTAACGTGAAGTCATGTGACCGTGCTGTAGCTCCTTTATAGCCCAACATTAGCCACCTTTAGCTTAGCGGTGGTGACGTGAAGTCATGTGATCGTACTGTAGTTCCTTTATAGCCCAACATTAGCCACCTTTAGCTTAGCGGTGGTGACGTGAAGTCATGTGACCGTGCTGTAGTTCCTTTATAGCCCAACATTAGCCACCTTTAGCTTAGCGGTGGTGACGTGAAGTCATGTGACCGTGCTGTAGTTCCTTTATAGCCCAACATTAGCCTCCTTTAGCTTAGCGGTGGTGACGTGAAGTCATGTGACCGTGCTGAAGTTCCTTTATAGCCCAACATTAGCCACCTTTAGCTTAGCGGTGGTGACGTGAAGTCATGTGACCGTGCTGTAGTTCCTTTATAGCCCAACATTAGCTTTTTACTCCAGAAATCATGAATTAATGTGTAAAGCACACATTTCCGATATTACGTCATATCGGCAGCAAATCTGGATCAGCTCCGTTGTTCCCCCGTTTTTTAGAGATGTGGGTACGGAGGAAAAGAGAGAGGGTTTTATTTTCTGACACTTTGTGAGTCTCCTGACACACCGGGGACACATATTTATGTATAAAAGACATCAAAAAGTGCATTTTGCATGATAGGAGACCAGCGACGTGCAGTCAGTGGAGGCAGGGGAGGCAGAGCCTCACCTGTCATACTCCAATGTAACGGAAAAACAATTAAAGAAAAACTAAATAGTAATAATAATAAAATGTCTCCACTGATCTTGTGTAAATGTGATTTCTGTATGATTCCAATCTTATTTTATAGTCAAAATCAGCAAATTTGCCGAGCTCCGCTACGGGAGCGATGAGAAGTGAGGCAGGCACGAGCACTGCCTCACGTAAGCCCACAGTAACTTGCTGGAGCGCGGGCACTAATTTAGCGCGGCCACTTATTTTGTGAGCGCGCTCAAGCCATTTACTGTGGGGTGAGGTGAGGCACAGATGAACTCTGCCTCACCTCAGAATGCGTCACCCCACAGAAACTGGCTGGAAAGCGGGCCCTAAGCGCATGCCTGTTCCCATCTCACTGTATGTCACCAATGTAATGTTTGTAGATCCCTTTATTACATTTATCCTCGCCATCCATAGTCTCTAAATAACTTATTTCACATATATATGATATTTAGGCTCGCTGGTCTCATCGTACAACGGCAATGAAAAAAGCACCAGGGGAGGCAGCCATAACCTCTGCCGCACTGAAGGGGGCGCACGTGAGCCCACAGGTTCCTGTTGCTACTGTTATTCTACCGCAAACAACAAACTAGACTTTTGAAACTACAGGAAGATAAGGAGGACTTTTACAAAACAGTAATAGAGATTGTTGTCCAGAAGGATAGCATGGACTTCATCTTCAAGTCAAGGTAAGACCACAACTGTAATGAAAATGGGATCTTACTTAGAAAGAACAATCCAATATTTAGATTTTGGGTATCCTTTTGTTGATCGGTCTGTTTAAAATTAATCATAGCATCAGACTAAAAAAGCTTTTGAAATAACAGAATATTTCAATTAAGGTCAAAATAGGCTATAATATTTGTAAATCTGACTCTGAAAGAGTCAGTGCCTCACCAGCCATGAACCTCACCGCACGTCACTGTAGGAGACCTTTAAAACAACCGAGGATGTGTGTGAGTCCCTACCTGTGTGTATGCAGCTGTTCGACAGGATATCCAGGTGTGTCTGGGTGTCAGTGAGCAGGTTCCAGCGCTGCACCCAGTCCCTCTTCGTGTTCCCCGACAGCAGCAGCATCACCAGCATCCTCTCATTGGGAAAAGACTCCTGCAGACCCCCTAACACCCGCCCCACAGGAAGCCTCTTTGACACTGGGATGGGGAAGAAACCCAGAGGAGGGTGAGAAGAAGAAGAAGCATGGGGGGTGAACAGGGGGGTTCGAGGGTCATCTAGGGTCAGTTTGATGCTTCCAGTCTGACTCAGATCCCTCCACTTGTTCAGCAGCTCTGAACGAGTGTCAGGTCCAAACGGGCTCAGATAAGAGATGATGGCGGCGAGCAGGAGAGCGTCTCCTGATAACGACTTGTGATCTGACTCCGCCTCCTGAGGGGAGCACCGAGAACACCATTTAGCCTCATATCAGAATCAGAAACTGAAATATATATATATAACAAATCACCTTTGGCTGGCAGAGAACTATCTGCTCCATAGCTTCTCTTGGACAACTGGACTCAAAATCACACTGTACATTTTACATTTATATTCAATCTAATATGTAATATTCCATTCCTCACATACTTATGTATATATAATATCCTGCTTTATATTTTGGTACTGTACATTGTTATTTCCATATGTATATTTTTTAATGCTATTTTATTTCTATTTGAGATGTTTACATGTTGGATTGTTTAGTTCTAGTCTTTTAATTTCTCTAATGTACAAAACAAAAACTAAAAACAAAGATAGAAATGTATTTTAAGAAAACTATAATATCATAAAAAAATTTATTGTAAATATATCACAAGATATTACATCACAAGATACGCCAACACAGTACATACGAGGCATATTTAAGGCGAGACACTGGAGGAAAAAAGTGTTCATGCACAGGTATATTTTGAGAATATACACTAACACTAATATGTATTTAGTTGGAAGACCAAGCTATCTGATTTGTGTTTGCAATAAACTCTTGTGACTCCATGTTACCTGTTTAGCAGCCCTCCACTCTGTGAACAGTGTCTCCATCTTCTCCACAGCAGCAGCAGCTTCTCTCTCTGATCTCTCCGCTATTTGCATCCTCTTCTCTGTCTCCTTCAGTTTTTCTCTCACCCCCTCCAGCTGTATCTTCTCCTCCTCCTGACGCCGCTTCGCCTCGTTCTTCTGCAGCTCCAGGCGGTTCAGTTTGGCTCGAGTGTGTCTGGCCGTGGCCTCCATCTGCTGCTTCAGCTCCAGCTGTTGTTGCATGCAGCAGCACTGGAACACGGCCTTCACCCAGAGACACAGAGACTCGCAGGCTCTGCTCACCCCCTGCACCGACTCTGGGACAAACTGAGGGCTGTGCACCATGAGAGCGAGCTGCTGCAGACGGTCTGCTGTCACACTGCAGCGCTCAAAGAACTCCAACTCCTGCAGAGAATCAGAGCATTAGCAAGACAGCTAATTATAATAATAGCACCATCAATTACACCGTTTCCTTTGGTGGCTGCTTTACTGTCTGTACATTATTACCCCTGTTATCTTTTTATTATTATTTTAAAACATTTTTCATGTTTTTAAATTATATTATATTACATTTCATTTAGCTGACGCTTTTCTCCAAAGCGACTTACAATAAGTGCATTCGACCAAGAAGATACAAACTTGAAGAAAACAGAATCATATAAGTACATCAGGTTTCATAGAGCCAAAACATTTCAAGTGCTACTCAACTGGCTTTAGATAAGTGCTTAGTTAGTATCTAAGTGCTTTGTTAGTATATAAGTGCTTTGTTAGTATCTAAGTGCTTTGTTAGTATATAAGTGCTTTGTTAGTATATAAGTGCTTTGTTAGTATGTAAGTGCTTTGTTAGTATGTAAGTGCTTTGTTAGTATGTAAGTGCTTTGTTAGTATATAAGTGCTTAGTTAGTATGTAAGTGCTTTGTTAGTATATAAGTGCTTTGTTAGTATCTAAGTGCTTTGATAGTATATCAGTGCTTAGTTAGTATGTAAGTGCTTAGTTAGTATCTAAGTGCTTTGTTAGTATGTAAGTGCTTTGTTAGTATGTAAGTGCTTTGTTAGTATATAAGTGCTTTGTTAGTATATAAGTGCTTTGTTAGTATGTAAGTGCTTTGTTAGTATATAAGTGCTTTGTTAGTATATAAGTGCTTTGTTAGTATGTAAGTGCTTTGTTAGTATGTAAGTGCTTTGTTAGTATATAAGTGCTTAGTTAGTATGTAAGTGCTTTGTTAGTATATAAGTGCTTTGTTAGTATCTAAGTGCTTTGTTAGTATGTAAGTGCTTAGTTAGTATCTAAGTGCTTTGTTAGTATATAAGTGCTTTGTTAGTATGTAAGTGCTTTGTTAGTATATAAGTGCTTTGTTAGTATATAAGTGCTTTGTTAGTATGTAAGTGCTTTGTTAGTATATAAGTGCTTTGTTAGTATGTAAGTGCTTTGTTAGTATATAAGTGCTTTGTTAGTATATAAGTGCTTTGTTAGTATGTAAGTGCTTTGTTAGTATATAAGTGCTTTGTTAGTATGTAAGTGCTTTGTTAGTATATAAGTGCTTTGTTAGTATCTAAGTGCTTTGTTAGTATATAAGTGCTTAGTTAGTATGTAAGTGCTTAGTTAGTATCTAAGTGCTTTGTTAGTATATAAGTGCTTTGTTAGTATGTAAGTGCTTAGTTAGTATCTAAGTGCTTAGTTAGTATCTAAGTGCTTTGTTAGTATATAAGTGCTTTGTTAGTATATAAGTGCTTAGTTAGTATAGAAGCCCTTTGTTAGTATATAAGTGCTTTGTTAGTATATAAGTGCTTTGTTAGTATATAAGTGCTTAGTTAGTATATAAGTGCTTTGTTAGTATGTAAGTGCTTAGTTAGTATATAAGTGCTTTGTTAGTATATAAGTGCTTTGTTAGTATATAAGTGCTTAGTTAGTATATAAGTGCTTTGTTAGTATAGAAGCCCTTTGTTAGTATATAAGTGCTTAGTTAGTATATAAGTGCTTTGTTAGTATATAAGTGCTTAGTTAGTATATAAGTGCTTAGTTAGTATATAAGTGCTTTGTTAGTATGTAAGTGCTTAGTTAGTATATAAGTGCTTTGTTAGTATGTAAGTGCTTTGTTAGTATATAAGTGCTTTGTTAGTATAGAAGCCCTTTGTTAGTATATAAGTGCTTTGTTAGTATATAAGTGCTTAGTTAGTATATAAGTGCTTAGTTAGTATATAAGTGCTTTGTTAGTATGTAAGTGCTTTGTTAGTATAGAAGCCCTTTGTTAGTATATAAGTGCTTTGTTAGTATATAAGTGCTTAGTTAGTATATAAGTGCTTAGTTAGTATATAAGTGCTTTGTTAGTATGTAAGTGCTTTGTTAGTATATAAGTGCTTTGTTAGTATAGAAGCCCTTTGTTAGTATATAAGTGCTTTGTTAGTATATAAGTGCTTTGTTAGTATATAAGTGCTTAGTTAGTATATAAGTGCTTAGTTAGTATATAAGTGCTTTGTTAGTATATAAGTGCTTAGTTAGTATATAAGTGCTTAGTTAGTATATAAGTGCTTTGTTAGTATATAAGTGCTTTGTTAGTATGTAAGTGCTTAGTTAGTATATAAGTGCTTAGTTAGTATATAAGTGCTTAGTTAGTATATAAGTGCTTTGTTAGTATGTAAGTGCTTAGTTAGTATATAAGTGCTTAGTTAGTATGTAAGTGCTTTGTTAGTATGTAAGTGCTTTGTTAGTATGTAAGTGCTTAGTTAGTATATAAGTGCTTAGTTAGTATATAAGTGCTTAGTTAGTATATAAGTGCTTAGTTAGTATATAAGTGCTTAGTTAGTATCTAAGTGCTTTGTTAGTAGATAAGTGCTTTGTTAGTAGATAAGTGCTTTGTTAGTAGATAAGTGCTTTGTTAGTAGATAAGTGCTTTGTTAGTATATAAGTGCTTTGTTAGTAGATAAGTGCTTTGTTAGTAGATAAGTGCTTTGTTAGTAGATAAGTGCTTTGTTAGTATATAAGTGCTTTGTTAGTAGATAAGTGCTTTGTTAGTAGATAAGTGCTTTGTTAGTATATAAGTGCTTTGTTAGTATATAAGTGCTTTGTTAGTATCTAAGTGCTTTGTTAGTATCTAAGTGCTTTGTTAGTATCTAAGTGCTTTGTTAGTATATAAGTGCTTTGTTAGTATATAAGTGCTTTGTTAGTATATAAGTGCTTTGTTAGTATATAAGTGCTTTGTTAGTATCTAAGTGCTTTGTTAGTATCTAAGTGCTTTGTTAGTAGATAAGTGCTTTGTTAGTAGATAAGTGCTTTGTTAGTAGATAAGTGCTTAGTTAGTATATAAGTGCTTAGTTAGTATATAAGTGCTTTGTTAGTATCTAAGTGCTTTGTTAGTAGATAAGTGCTTTTGTTAGTAGATAAGTGCTTTGTTAGTAGATAAGTGCTTTGTTAGTAGATAAGTGCTTTGTTAGTATGTAAGTGCTTTGTTAGTATGTAAGTGCTTTGTTAGTAGATAAGTGCTTTGTTAGTAGATAAGTGCTTTGTTAGTATATAAGTGCTTTGTTAGTATATAAGTGCTTTGTTAGTATCTAAGTGCTTTGTTAGTAGATAAGTGCTTTGTTAGTATATAAGTGCTTTGTTAGTAGATAAGTGCTTTGTTAGTAGATAAGTGCTTTGTTAGTATCTAAGTGCTTTGTTAGTAGATAAGTGCTTTGTTAGTAGATAAGTGCTTTGTTAGTAGATAAGTGCTTTGTTAGTAGATAAGTGCTTTGTTAGTATATAAGTGCTTTGTTAGTATCTAAGTGCTTTGTTAGTATGTAAGTGCTTTGTTAGTATGTAAGTGCTTTGTTAGTATATAAGTGCTTTGTTAGTAGATAAGTGCTTTGTTAGTAGATAAGTGCTTTGTTAGTATATAAGTGCTTTGTTAGTATCTAAGTGCTTTGTTAGTATGTAAGTGCTTTGTTAGTATGTAAGTGCTTTGTTAGTATATAAGTGCTTTGTTAGTATGTAAGTGCTTTGTTAGTATATAAGTGCTTTGTTAGTAGATAAGTGCTTTGTTAGTAGATAAGTGCTTTGTTAGTATATAAGTGCTTTGTTAGTATCTAAGTGCTTTGTTAGTATGTAAGTGCTTTGTTAGTATGTAAGTGCTTTGTTAGTATATAAGTGCTTTGTTAGTATGTAAGTGCTTTGTTAGTATATAAGTGCTTTGTTAGTATCTAAGTGCTTTGTTAGTAGATAAGTGCTTTGTTAGTAGATAAGTGCTTTGTTAGTATATAAGTGCTTTGTTAGTATCTAAGTGCTTTGTTAGTATGTAAGTGCTTTGTTAGTATGTAAGTGCTTTGTTAGTATATAAGTGCTTTGTTAGTATGTAAGTGCTTTGTTAGTATATAAGTGCTTTGTTAGTATATAAGTGCTTTGTTAGTATATAAGTGCTTTGTTAGTATATACCGTAATTTTCGGACTATAAAGCGCACCTGAATATAAGCCGCAGCAGCTAAATTGAATGATGTGTACATATATAAGCCGCACTGGACTATAAGCCGCAGGTGTTTTAATGTTTAATTACCATATGTAAGGGTTCGCGCACAGAGGGGATTGTCGGGAAAGAGATGGCTGTTTGAGGAAGCTCCCATTTATTAACATTTCAACAAACAAGTTTCATATTTGCATAACGTATTCAAGTGTTACCATTTAGTGCAATAGTAGCTACAGAACATGTACTGTGCTGTGTAAACTGTACTGTATCACATAGCGTTTCAGACACACAAACTTTTCAACTTTCAAACTTAAACGGTGCGCTCCCAGCGCACGTACCGGCAGTGATCTACAGCAGTGGTTTTCAACCAGTGGTACGGGGACCACCAGTGGTCCTTGAGGGAGTGCTAGGGGTTCCCCAGCAAAATTAGTTAATAGCGTCACAATCATTTAACCACTTAGCTTTGGCTATTTTTGAAGCTCTTCCTTTGCACAAACTGTCTTGCTCTCGTTCTGTCTCTCGTACCACTCTCGGTTCCACTTTTACTTTTGCGCGCTACCTGTCTCACTCTTTCCGGCCTCCAGCTTTTCCTGCTGGAGCCCGCCGCTTAAAGGTGGGGGGCGCGGACCGGCCATAGAGCCCATAGAGTTAAAGGTGGTGGACTGTAACCTGTAAAATCCATAGATTTAGGAGGTCCCCTAGTGGCCGTTAGCTGTAAAATCCATAGATTTAGGAGGTCCCCTAGTGGCCGTTAGCTGTAAAATCCATAGATTTAGGAGGTCCCCTAGTGGCCGTTAGCTGTAAAATCCATAGATTTAGGAGGTCCCCTAGTGGCCGTTAGCTGTAAAATCCATAGATTTAGGAGGTCCCCTAGTGGCCGTTAGCTGTAAAATCCATAGATTCAGGAGGTCCCCTAGTGGCCGTTAGCTGTAAAATCCATAGATTTAGGAGGTCCCCTAGTGGCCGTTAGCTGTAAAATCCATAGATTTAGGAGGTCCCCTAGTGGCCGTTAGCTGTAAAATCCATAGATTTAGGAGGTCCCCTAGTGGCCGTTAGCTGTAAAATCCATAGATTTAGGAGGTCCCCTAGTGACCGTTAGCTGTAAAATCCATAGATTTAGGAGGTCCCCTAGTGGCCGTTAGCTGTAAAATCCATAGATTCAGGAGGTCCCCTAGTGGCCGTTAGCTGTAAAATCCATAGATTTAGGAGGTCCCCTAGTGGCCGTTAGCTGTAAAATCCATAGATTTAGGAGGTCCCCTAGTGGCCGTTAGCTGTAAAATCCATAGATTTAGGAGGTCCCCTAGTGGCCGTTAGCTGTAAAATCCATAGATTTAGGAGGTCCCCTAGTGGCCGTTAGCTGTAAAATCCATAGATTTAGGAGGTCCCCTAGTGGCCGTTAGCTGTAAAATCCATAGATTTAGGAGGTCCCCTAGTGGCCGTTAGCTGTAAAAATCCATAGATTTAGGAGGTCCCCTAGTGGCCGTTAGCTGTAAAAATCCATAGATTAGCCGCACCGTTATATAAGCCGCAGGGTCGAAAAATGGGAAAAAAGGCGCGGCTTATAGTCCGAAAATGACGGTACATTGAAATAGAATGAAATAAAATATGTGCAGTAATAATAAAAAATATATATTGTGTACATTGTGTGCATGAATGTAATGCAGAGGGTCTATTGCCCCTGTAATCTGTTTGTTGTTATTTTTAAACCTGGTTCCCCACCTGGAAGAAGTTGTCTTGTCCCAGCAGCTGCTTGGCACTCTCCCAGCCCGGCGGACGGTTGAAAAGCAGACAGACGGCGTCCATGATCCTCACCACTCCTTCAGGAGGGTCTCTGTAGTGACGCACCTCCTCCAGGTCGCACGGATTCAGACAGGAGAGCAGCTTCAGACCCGACAGCAGCACCGGGACCACCTGAGGGGACATTTCAACGGCATAATAGTTCAGGGTTCATACACTTTTTCACCAATGATTTTCAATGACTTTCTATGACTTCTCCATGACCTTTACCTAATTTTCCATGACCAAAATAAATGACTCTTTCTCAGCGGTACCACTGAAACATTTTTTATTTTAACATGGAAAAGGAAAATAAGGTCTGCATATGAAACATGTTGTGCCTATCTAAAACAAATCAAATAGTAGGCTTACTAGCTCCTACAGGCTAAAGCAACTGTACACTAGAGCAGGGGTTCCCAAAGTGGGGGTCGCGACCAAGCGGCAAACTCTGGGGAAGAGCCGGGACGCCAATACGGAAGTGCCACAAACTGCAGTTCATATATTGGCCGATAGGCGCTGACTGCAGAAAGGAGCAATTTCCATAGAGCCCCATGTTAAAATGCCCAATTTTACAGCCTAAAAAAACATGTTTCTACCCCTGGCTGCAATACATTTTATTATAGATATAGTTAGATTCCACCTTCATGATTATGAATCTGTGAGTGAATTGTTTTCTAACGCGACCCTTTTATTTATATTAGGTCTTCAAGTTTTTGCATAAATTAGGGCGTGGTCACATTGAGTGACAGCTCTGTCAAGTGACTGCTGCTGTTAGCTTCTTGTCTCTCTGCTAGCTGCTCCATCCGTGAAGCTACATGGACTCTGCCTGGTCAGTTCATCCAGGGAACACAACTTGACCCCGGCCGTGTTTGTTTGTTCTTCATGCTTATATATCGGACTATTGTGACTCGCTCTGCGGTTAAAACAGACGGTGCATGAATGCCGTTTTGCGGTAAGTGAAATTCGAGTACTTTATTTATGTGTTTATGATTTTAATCAGCTACATAATGAATGTGTTAGCGTGTAAGCGTGTGCTAGCTACATCGGTGCTAACGATGCTAATTGTAGCCTCCAAGTTAAAACCATAGACCGTATATATAAAGGTTAAAACGAAATAGACAAGTGTTAAGCGTTAAGTGGGATAATACTGTAGAACAAACGGCTTCTGTTTGAGGTTGATAAAATAAGGTCATCCTTGTAACTTAGAGAGATATTTTATTATGTAGGTAGGAACTGTATGCATCGCTAAGGTTAATTTAAATTGGCTATGCTCGAGTATGTAGACAAGCTAACGTCGAAGTAGTGTATGTGAAATCAACCTCACAATAAGATGTGTGTATATTACAATTATTAATGTCAAATATTTCAAGATGATTACTTAGATATTACAATATGGTTGGTTGAGCTGGAGTTCATTATTGAGCTTACACGTTAACGTCACAGTCATCTGAAGAACGAACCCAAACCTCGTTGTTTTTATTAATTGCATTACCAAATTGGTATCAAATAAATAGTAAGCATTGGTAACAGAACTTCCAAAGTTACAGTAAAATAAAAAGGACCCTGACTCGGACAATACACAATCCAACATGTTCAACAGAAGAGAATAAGTTATATTGTTTGTACACATGGTTCTTTACATATATATCTGTTTGTTTAAAGTGTCCAGGTGATGCAGACAGGCTGGACCAGAGAGTGAGAGACAGAACTGGACTCCTCACAGCAGTGAACTTCAGCACAGGTACAAATACTCTTTTTTCATACTGTACAAAGAATCAAGAAAGATATTGGTTTAAATAAATGAAGTATTGACTTTAATACACTGCTATACATTCCATTAAACAATACTAAATACTAGATCACCTACACATCAGTGAAGTTGAGGGTTTTTTCCATGCAAAGGGTTACATTTAGATGTTAACAAGCAATATGACTGTCAGCTTTCTAATTTAATGTATTGAAGGCAAAGCTATTTAACACATAGTGACAACTGCTATTTATCTCTCAATATTGTCTGTAAAAAACGTGGTAAAAGTGATTCTTTCAGTGAGACAACAGAGCAAGCTTCTACAGTTGCACTACGTTTTGATAACAGTTCAATATTATTTTGATAATAAAATATATTTCAATGTTGATGAATGTCATACTGTTCATTCATAATCTGATTGTCTTTGTAGCTCACTGTTGAAATAAAAAAAAAAACATACAAAACATACAAAATAATTATATCTACAGCCCCTAAACACACAAACACACCTCTTTCATAAATAACACACTTGTTCTGCAATAATATGTTTTATGTTTCCTGTAATTTTTGTTAGGAAAGGACATGCCTGAAAGACACGACTCAGCATCTCCTCTTTCTCTGAGGGTCAAGAAAAACATCCAAGAGGAAAATTAAAAGCTGATGTTATGAGATTTTAAGACCAGTACAGGACATTCACTAAGAAACTACTTTTATTGTGAAGTCAGCTGATCGAATGCACCTATTTCCACATCTACACTCCATCAGCTGATTAATTCTATTTGCCTCACTTTATGAGCTTCACAACATGTACCTTGTACCGCAGAGTTTGCAATGTCACAAATAAATGGGGCCAATCTTCAGTCAGATGTGAATGTGTAATCTAACATTTTCAGTAAGAATAATGGACAAAAGGAGTGCAAATACAAATTCAATTTATTGAAATCTGAACCAAAAGTTAATCAAACATGTTTTAAATAAAAAAGCACATATGGACAGAAGGTGTAAACCTATTAAATGTATAAGTAAACACATTTAGTCAAATAAAGTGACAGACAAGGCCTGTGCAGTTGGTATCAGCTATGCCCAGCATGGGCTCCTCCATCAGGCCTGGTCCTCCTCGACCCTCAGTCCTCTCCGGCCAAACCAACAGGCAGGACGTCCATTACACGGAGGTTTCTCCCTGAAGTCTCTGCAGCTCTCTGGACACCACGCTGTCTCAATCCGTCCACACTGAATATGAGAGGGGGAAAATGAAAATAATAAATGCTTTAGACAATAAGAAATATAAAGTTGACTGTTGAGTTGCTCAGTTTTTTTAGATTGTCAATACTATTACTGTATAACTAATATCTCAGGTTAAGAGGCACCTTCAAATAAAGATTGGTCTTTAAATACATTTTGTCTTTTGAATTGTTTGTCTAAAGTCAAGGATCTAGAACTGGTACTTATAGTTTTAATGATACAGTCTGGTTATAATGCGGTTTGGAGGAGGCCTCACAGGTAAGAGCACTAACTAGCTACCATCACATGTACTGTACCTTAGCTTGACTTAAATGTATTAAACGTATAATTAAGTGATAGCAAAATATAAATAACTAATGTCATGCAAACATATTAATTTGCTTGATTCCAGTGTTGCATTTAGCACATTGCATACAAACGTTAAGGGATTTTAAGATTCTGAAGTATTATGCTAAAAACTCAATAACTTAGATTATTATTTATAGTTTTGCTGAATAGTCTCATGTCCGCTTACCTTAGAAACGTGAAATGTGACGGCAGTGTGCAGATGGGGAGCATGTTAGCTTAGCTTCTTAGCTTGAGCTAGCTCTGTTACTTCCCAGCTGGAGGCAGCAGGTCCCGCCTCGGCTCCGCCTCTTTGCCCTTATTTGGAGCAGGCTGGAGCAGGCGGGAGTTAGACTCAGACGTCACTGTCGAGCCGTTAGTGGCTGACTCCGCCTACTAAGGGCTTCTCGGCAACTCTGCAGGATCCTATGGGTGACGTCACGGACCCTACGTCCATTTATATATACAGTCTATGGTCGCGACCCAAAATTAAAATTGAAAATTAAAAAAACATCATTTTTTATTTTATCAATTTTGTTTGAATTATTATTAATAATAACGGGTGCATAGACATTTTTCAGGGGCGAACTGGCCATCTGTATAATTTCCCCGCAGCGAGGCTCCCCCCGTTGATAATCCACTAGCGCAGTGTTTCTCATCTTGTTCATACCAAGGACACTTAGCCAATAAAGAACACTCACGGACCACCTGACTCCACAAAGATCAGAAACAATAGGCCTGCTCACTCCAACAAATTACAGCCTAATAATGACAGCTTAACCTTCTCTACATCGCCTCGTTCACACAATAAATCAACAATACAAACACAACTACAGATTATATAAGCCTTTCGTTCAAATGTGATTTAAAATGCTCTCAGGTTTTACACCTCTTATGAAATGTATATGGGCTCAGAACAGTCTCATAATACACACATGCACACAGAAGGATTCACACTTGTATTTCATGATCCGCAAAAGGATTCACACTTGTATTTCCGGATCCACACTTGTGTTTGTCAATGCACACACAAATGTGTTCCGTTTCATATACATGTAAATAAAATCCAAATACAGAAAAAAGTTTTACATATGTATTTTTGATCCTCACATATTTGTTTTCCGTTTAAAACCGCTGCACCTGCAAACACAAACCGCTTTCTGTGCATGGATCGCTCTGCATTCGTGTGTGGGTTTTTTGAGACTCCCCTGACGGTGACCCGATTCGTACTTGTAATTTTTTCTATCTATAGCCAATCAGATGTCTCCTCAATTCTAAGCCAATCACATGAGCGCGCCCCCACAAGGGTAGATTTCTTGCGTTCATGACGTAGCGCTTCATGTACGCATTTTGCGCTGTCCGGAGCTGACAGGTCCATGGAGCCTGCCTGCAGGCGCTAATCTCAGGACACCTCCACTCTCAGTACATTGCCACTTTCCGATCAGGAAATGCACGCAAATACAAGCCTTTATATTATTAAGGTACAGTGCCACTTTCCGAACCATTAATGAATGCTTGTGTACACAAAAACGGCAGGCAAAACTGTTTTAAATGTGTGTTTCCTGTATGGCGATCAGCTGCTTTATTTATGTCTGTATGAAGTTGTTGTGAGTGTGGAGGGAGCAGCTACAGGTTAGTTTAGCCTAATCGATCAGTGCACTACGAAGCCAGTGCTAGACAGTGAACTGTCAACGGGGGGAGCCCCGCCGGTCATTATCGGCCGATATTCACTCTTAATAGTTTGATCGGTGCTCTCTATAAAGGCCGATCAGGAGAGGTGGATCTGATCGATATGGACATAAACGCGAGTGAAGTTTTAGCGAGCTGCATGAGAAACTGACGGGCTGTCAGGAGAGAGGGAGGGAGAGAGGAAAAGAGATGATCCTTACTCCCGTGTTATTATCCGGTCATAGTCCGGTAATTCCCTAACGGAAACGCTGCTACACAATTCTTATTATTATTATTATTGAAACATGACCGGTAAGTTTCAAATTTGTCCGGTAAAATTAAATTCTGTCCGCGGAAACCCAGCTCCGGACTACGCAAAATGCGTATATGAAGTGACATGAACGCAAGAAATCTACCCTCGTGGGGGCGCGCTCATGTGATTGGCTTAGAATTGAGGAGACATCTGATTGGCTATAGATAGAAAAAATTACAAGTACGAATCGGGTGACCGTCAGGGGAGTCTCAAAAAACCCACACACGAATGCAGAGCGATCCATGCACAGAAAGCGGTTTGTGTTTGTAGGTTCAGGGGATTTAAACGGAAAACAAATATGTGAGGATCAAAAATACATATGTAAAACTTTTTTCTGTATTTGGATTTTATTTACATGTATATGAAACGGAACACATTTGTGTGTGCATTGAAAAACACAAGTGTGGATCCGGAAATACAAGTGTGAATCCTTTTGTGGATCATGAAATACAAGTGTGAATCCTTCTGTGTGCATGTGTGTATTATGAGACTGTTCTGAGCCCATAAATGTAGACTACATTTATTACGGAGTTTATGTCCGAGCTATAACAGACTCACAGATCGTTGGCTACTGAGAGAAATGCAAAATACACCACATGTAGTACGACACAAACCTCCGCTGTGGATTTCAAAACAAAACACAGTAAAACTATGATCGCAGGCCCAAGTTTAACTCTCTGAGCCCTTTTTTCACATGTTCGGCTCGCGTGGGCTTTTTTTGTAAAAATGCTCTTAAAACATGAACCTTGGTGACCATCGGGCTGGCCTGCATGGTCTGCCTACAAAACAAAAATAAAAAACGTTCATGCAGCCCCAACAACAGCCTCTGATTCATCAACAGACTTCATGCAATGCTTCATTGGATGCATATATTAGATAATAATCTCTATCTCACTCCTAAAACATCTACATCTACTTCCAGCGTGGATAAATGTTCATAAAAGACATCCATTGTTTGTTCTATATGCTTCTTGAAATCCTAAAAACACCGTTTTTCTAGAACAGATTACAAATCGCCTGAAAATGGTACAAACAAGTGGCAACATGTGTGACGAAGGTGTTGCGCTGGGCTATATCACGCAATCGAAATTGAAACCTAAGCTCGCGCCATTGCGGAGATATTCCCGCAAGAGTGCGAAAAACTTTAATTAATTAATCATCTCTCACCAGCAAAATACCTCCACAGTTAAATGCCATTTTACGTTTCATTACTATACAGTATTTATTATCATTATAGTATTACTATTTTGCCGATTAGATCAAATATTAATTATATTTGATTCAACTTTAGTTACATTTCCATGACTTTTCCTGGTTTTTAATGACCGTACGAACCCTGATAGTTGTAATTTTAAGCTCCTCAGGGTCTCTGAAAAATAACTAGTTTGGTGTAGTGGTTGTGCAGTGTGGCATGATGGGGGTTGTAGTAAAGATCTGAGAAAAACCAAAGAATTTCCAAAGCTAAAGACACTGATTTACCAGAAAATAACTAAGATATTATCTGACATTTAATTGGTAACTGAACGACAAAGCCATGTGATTGATTGACAAAAAAAACCCAATATTTTTCCATTTTTAATTTAATTTTTTTTTTAATACATTTCAGAATTGTTCCTCCTAAATGCACAGGAGCTATCTTGGAAATTGTGATGTTTTTTAAACCTGGAAATCAACAATAACCCTAATTTGTCGTAGTGTAAAATGCACCGTTACCTTGGTCAAAAGCACACGACTCGACTAGATGTATAGCATAGGTCTAATTGTTTTCACACAGTCATATATGAGTGAATGTTATGTATATGATGCAGATGTGAATACACAGGACATGTTTACCTGCTTGTGAGCGTGGCTGATCTGCTCCTCCAGGTCGTACAGCTTGTTCTCCTCGACGACACAACTCTCCTGCGCCTCCTCCAGCAGAATCCTCTGATGATCCAGCGCTGAGAGGAGCTCTAACTCACGCTGCAGGAGGGACAGAGGGGATCATTTAGCAAGTATTAAAACTGTATTTGATCAATATATTTAACGTGTTGCAAAAGTACATTTTGTACAGATCTGTAAACCATCATTTTGACGCAGATATTAATTTAGGAACGGAGGGTGGCGGTAGAATGAATCCTTCTTTAAGAATGAGATGCACAGAAATAAATGTTGCTGTGAAAGCTTCTCATTTGGAAATGAATAAGCAATATTCCTAGAACTAATTAAACTAAATGTATGCAAATCACTCAACTGTAATTTGCAGAAAACGATGATGTCCAAGGTAAATAATCGTGAATATTTCAATTGCATTGTTTTAGGAATTTAGGAAAGTATGGTTACTTTAACATAACGTTAAGAGTCACTCAATTTGAAATAAATACAAAATAATCCTGTGATCTTCTTCAGCCTCTATAAACATCCAAATATTTTGCTTACAGGGTTGTTCAAATCATTTTTGTATCATAAATGTTATGCAAATATTTTAACTTGTAAATGTACAAAAGATGAAGTTGTGTAAGGTAAATATGACTAAATATTCAAATTGCATTATTCATTTAAAATAAATAAATGTTGATGTTTAAACAATATTTCCAGTATGTTCTTCAGCCTCTATAAACCTCTGAACATATCGTGTTGGAAGGGAAAATGTAAGCAGATGTATTAACTTGTAATTAATACAAAAGATGAAGTTGTGTGTGGTAAATATGACTGAATAATCAGCAGTATTCATTGAGGTGTAAAGGGTCACTTTAACATCATCTCTTGCAAAGGAATAACTGTTTCTGTTTCTCAGTTATAAATGAATAAACATTATTCCCAGACTGTCCCTCTAGCCCAGTGTTTCTCAAACTTGTTCATACCAAGGACCACTTAGCCAATAAAAAAACACTTGCAGACCACCTGACTCCACAAATATCCAGAAACAATAGGCCTGCTCACCACTCCAACAGTAATTACAAATTACAGCCTAATAATGACAGCTTAACCAGATGGAGCCTCTTATTTTGGACCCCAGCATACAGCTTCCTGCCGACTGCCAGCCAGTTGCCTGCCTAAGACCTGCCAAAGACCAGTATTCAGGAATGTTAGGGCCTCCCACTATTCTCCAATTTCAGGGTTTAACCAGGAGATGGCGCTATATATTAAATAACTATGGCCAAAGTAAGACTTAGTTTTTCACAAGAGACAATGCAGATATTATATAAAAAACTAAAGTTAAAATCTTGTTTTTAATGCCCCAAGAGCAATAACATCTTGTCACAAGCTTTTTGGAAGAAAAAGACTTCAAGAGACCTGTAGTTGACTAATTACAGGCCTCAATAAAGTTCTGCCATTGGTTGTGAAAAACAACGGTGGACATAGTGGAAAGTGAAATTGAGATTGTCAAATTTAATAAAAATACAAAATAATGTATCTGTGTACGTGTTTTATGTGATCTGCATGCACTTATCAAACATCTAATTAAAGAATGGTAGCTGTACCTCTCAAACAACCTAAACTAGTTATAAATGTTTATTTTAAATAAAGTCTTTATGACTCGGAATATGAATAAAATGGGTCCGTTACAGTTTGTTTTCATCTGATTTCAAATAAACAAAGTCTTGGCTTTCAGAATATTAAACTTGTTTCGGCAAATTTAGATGATAAACTTTAAACTTTCACACACGTTGACCGGCGAAAAACTCTGCCCGGTTCACCGACCCCCCTCTGAGTGAATACCCAAGATATCTTGGTTTGATTTGGTTTGATTTGGAGAATTTATTTAGCTACTTGGCACTAAGAGTACAGATATGTCTACCCTTTCTTTTCAGAGTGTAATATCTGCATTTTCTCTTTTGGTTTGAATAGGAGAAGGGCAATGGTTATCGACGGTGCTTTTAATGCCTATTGTATACGAACTGTGTGATTTATATTGCTTTTCAAATGCATATAAGCCCCCCATTTACACTGCACTTCCCCGTCAAGAAAATGAATAGCACTTAGTTAGATCACTTTACAGATCAGGTTGGACCAGCCCTGTCGCTACTCTCTGCATTTCCTACTGCAGATAAAAAAAAAGCTACAAATATGTATTTCTTAATAAACTAAATAGGCCACCATTGGTAGCAGTTCTCATTATATACTTCTCAGTATACTTCCCCCACCCGCCCACTGTTTGTTGCTTTTTGACATGTAAATGGGTAACTACCCCCCTCTGAGTGAATACCTGTTGTACCTGTCCGGGGCTAAGCCCATAGGACGATGCTCTGATGTCATCACCCTCGCACATTGGTCATATGTTTATGAGATCACTGTGATTCACTTCTCCGCGGCTCCTCCGTGCAGAGAGGCCCCCCCCCGTTGACAATTCATGAGCGGCTAACTCTCTCCCCCCTCCCCCGTCGCACCTTCTAACAGAACCCCCCCCATATCTGGATTTGGCCCACAGACCTAGAGAGTAGCAAAATACAGTGAGTCCTAAACACAAGTAGTCAGGGTTCATTTATAACGCTTATTTTGATTTATTTTTCTCAAATGATGCTGGATGTTTTACTTTCTGAAAGCGTTAGAATCGCACATGAAAAATATTGAAAGCTGCCAGCTGCCCTCGGCCATGTCTTTGGCGGTGATCCAAGCTTCGGTACCACAGTGGATAAAGTTAGTAATACATTTATAGGCTACTGATCAAATGTCAATACATTACATAAGTCTTATTCTCATTCATACTTAATTTATTTCTTCTTCTGTCAGTATGAACACAAAAAACTAACCGGTATTACATTTCATTCTAAAGTTTACGGACAAACTACAGACTGCTGGAGAAGAGATATCACAGGGGGGGGGGTTGGGACACACACATTCCGATGGCCAATTCGTTTTAAACAAAGAGTAGGCTATACTCAACATAGTGGGGTGGGGGCTGGTGAACGGTATGGTCAATGTTTGTAAACACTGTGACATTTTAACTTTATTTGATCATTTCAGTTAAAAACTAACGTTCATATTTCATATTACTGTTTTGCCTGGCTGGACCTGTAATTTACAGGAAAGGAGTGCACGCTACTAAAGAGACACGCTACCATGGAAACCAAACAATGGTGTTGCTGTATTGAAGTCCGAGTGGAAACAGTCGTATTTGGAGCGTTATGTTAGAATGAAACAGCGAGGTCGTGACTCACAAAAAAAAAGTGTTACTTCACTAACTGTAAGCTTGTCACTCAGAGTAACCTACAGTTAACTTAACTGTTGGAAAAGAAAGATTAGGGGGGGAGAGAGCTGTGATGGGCCATTAGGAGTGTACACACACAGCTGAGAGCTGCCGTTTCATTCTGACTGTTTAAAAAACGGTAACAACGGACTATTTTTCTTAGCGGATGCATGTAAATTTAAATCAATACATACAACTATTTTTTAAATCAATAAAAATATTTTCTAAATCCATAAAAGCATTTTAATTAATATTGGGAGTCATGTCGTTACTTTGTGGCCATGTAATAAGCGGGATAATTTGCAGCGACTTGGTCATTATGGGGAAAAATAACACCCAGGGATCAAGATCCCTCCGCGTCGCGTCGCGGAGGGATCTTGATCCCTGGGTGTTATTTTTCCCCATCAATTTAAGTAATTTTTAGTGAATTACTGAGAATTACTGAGTTTAGGCACGTTAATAACATTTTAATGAAGTTGAATACAGTATATTCATATTTGTCAGTGATTTCATGTCAATTCGGCGAACATAAACGATTAAATTAGGATTAAAAATCGAGAGCCGGCTGCTGTTCGTTACGGCAACCCAACTAGGACACTTGACACAGTGGCTTTTGGCAAAGCACACAAAGAAAACAAAAAAAAACCGAGAGAGATGAGTTATTGTTATTACAACGTGACATCTCGCACATGCGCATAACAACATGGTGATGTTTTGTAAATTATTACATGTCTTATTTAGCACAGACTATGATCCTATCCGTGACATATGGATCTTAACAAAGATCCGCTATACATTAGTACCAGATATACTGTACACGGACATTTTAGTGAACCAGACCAGCTGTTTCCGCCGGGTCTTCGCTTCCCGGGCATCACGTTGTTTACAAGTGTGTTCAGATGCTAAATAAAAGTTTAGCTTGTACTTTTGATACCCCGCCTCTCGGCACCACAACATCCAGTTTACTGTATTTCACATGAGCGATGTCGAACATTGAAAAGTCCTTATAAAATCTCTGTTATTAGATCAGTACTTTTCTTATATGACTATTATTGACTTGAACACTGAGAATGTATTTATTAACTTCAGACATTTGAAATATTTGAAATCAGATGAAAACAAACTGTAACGGACCCTGCCGTGTTATCTATGATTACTATACATTCATAATTTCAGCCGGAGGTAGGTGGTAGGCGTTGCGGAGGAGCAGATTGCGAGTGAGGTGCCTGTTCTAAACGAACTATTCCAGCTGTTATAAAGCATTAAATAAAAAGTAAGCAAGGAATACAGAATGTTTCGTTACGTAACTTTGTTGAGAATGTGGCCATGTACATGTACATAATACATGGGATCATTTGCAGCGACTTGGTCATTGTGGGGAAAAATAACACCCATCCTGATCGTTTCAATGAAGTTGAATACAGAATATTCATATTTGTCAGTGATTTCATGTCAATTCGGCGAACATAAACATCAATGATGATGATTAAATTAGGATTAAAAATCGGGAGAGCCGGCTCGTTCGTTTTTTCCGACTAAACAACATTATTTAAATGATTACATGTCTTATTTAGCACAGACTATGATCCTATCCGTGACATACACTGTATGGATCTTAACAACAAAGAAGTTGATTTCACATGACTCCAGTGTGGAACCCCACTGCACCCCCTGGTGGATCAATGATCCATTGCAGCTGGATTCACAATAATTAAATGTATTTATCATGGGGGCGGTATCAAGTCAGACTGGGGGCCGGCCGGCCATCACGGAACGTGCACGAACCGATCACGACCCTCGCACTTTAAACTGTCCAAAATAAGACGCTTCATCTGTATATCGCCTCGTTCACACAATAAATCAACAATACAAATACAACTACAGATTATATAAGCCTTTCGTTCAAATGCGATTTAAAATGCTCTCAGGTTTTACACCTCTTATGAAATGTAGACTACATTTATTACGGAGTTTATGTCCGAGCCAACAGACTCACAGATCGTTGGTTACTGAGAGAAATGCAAAATACACCACATGTAGTACGACACAAACCTCCGCTGTGGATTTTCAAAACAAAATACAGTAAAGCTGTGGTCGCAGGCCCAAGTTTAAGGCCCCGCTCACACGGGACCGTTTGCGTTTATGCACAGTATGCGTATTCAAAAAAGTCTTCCGTTCACATGCATTTGTTTCATTTAACGTGTCTGTTCAAACGAGGCCGCTGGAAACGCTGTAGTACATATGCCGGGACTGTAAGTGGCGCTGTAACTTCCGCCAAAATACACCAAAAGCAGCGAAGAAGAGCAACCGAGCAGCCCCGCTGCAATGTTGCCATGGCTACCCTTCTGTTTAAGCCCCGAAACTGAAACTGAAACTGAAAGAAACTGAAAGAAACCGAATCTGTGGATATTGCATCCCGACCAAGAAGCACGTCTCTGTGGAGAGGACGCGCTCAGAAAGATATTCTCTACAAACACCGGGTGAGATCCTCCTTTGTCAATATAATGGATCAATGCATGAAATCTGACTCTGTTTATTTAGTTTAAGGAGTATATTGGGCGTTAACAATTCTGGTTTGCCTTTTATAATATTATTTCATTCAAGAACCCCTTGTGCGTTTAATTAACACAGCTATTTTTGATAGTTGCTACAGCAGTGAGCAGGAGAGGTGGGGAGAGGCGGGGCTATCGCTATTTTTTCAGGAAATATTCGTATCGAGGTGATTACACGGACTCGGTTGACCCCCCAGAGCGTTTCGTTTGCAAACCTATCCACCTTGGGACCCGTTATTGTTTGTGGGGTCAGTTTCTATCGGCCTCGTGTAAATAATAGGGCTATACGCACGCGAAACTATGCAGATACAAGCAGTTTTCTCCTCGTGTAAACGGCGCCTAACTCTCTGAGCCCTTTTTTCACATGTTAGGCTTGCGTGGGCTTTTTTTGTAAAAATGCTATTAAAACATGAACCTTGGTGACCATCGGGCTGGCCTGCATGGTCTGCCTACAAAACAAAAATAAAAAAAGTTTTTGCAGCCCCAACAACAGCCTCTGATCATCAACAGACTTCATGCAATGCTTCATTGGATGCATATATTAGATAATAATCTCTATCTCACTCCTAAAACATCTACTTTCAGCGTGGATAAATGTTCATAAAATACATCCATTGTTTGTTTTATATGCTTCTTGAAATACAAATAAAAACACATCGTTTTTCTAGAACAGATTACAAATCGCCTGAAAATGGTACAAACAAGTGGCAACATGTGTGACGAAGGTGTTGCGCTGGGCTATATCACGCAATCAAAAAATGAAACTTAAGCTCGCTTCATTGCGGAGATATTTCCGCAAGAGTGCGGAAAACTTAAATGTATTTATTTCAAATGTGACATTTTACCAATATACTCACGGACCACTAGGGGGCGCTCACGGACCACACTTTGAGAAGCACTGCTCAAGCCTCTGGACAAATTGCTAACACTTGTTTAAATCATTTGTGACATGTGGTGAGAAACGACCTGATATAGAAACTGTGGCAGTCTTCTGCAGCTTTGTCAGGATATTGATCTCCAGATGAAAGTGCTGAGAGGCTGAATATTACCTGCTGTGCCTCTGAAACGTCCTCCTGCAGTTTCACCAGGTTCTGTTTGTACCGAGCTGCTGCGCTGCTCATCACATCGAGACGGGACAGAACAGCTGCTAATCTGGAGAATGTAGACAAGTTATTGCAAACCAGAGTTTGTGTGTACGTTTATCTAGTCAAACAGACATTAAAGGGGAGTATACCTGGAATCTATTAAACATTACTGCAACAAATCCAACCTTTTGGAATTTTACTACATTTAATTTAGTTCCAATTGATGCCCTTTTGAAGAGGCCCTATCCTGCTGTCTGTGGTGTTCTCTCTCCTGCTGTCTGTGGTGTTCCCTCTCCTGCTGTCTGTGGTGTTCCCTCTCCTGCTGTCTGTAGTGTTCCCTCTCCTGCTGTCTGTAGTGTTCCCTCTCCTGCTGTCTGTGGTGTTCTCTCTCCTGCTGTCTGTAGTGTTCTCTCTCCTGCTGTCTGTAGTGTTCTCTCTCCTGCTGTCTGTAGTGTTCCCTCTCCTGCTGTCTGTGGTGTTCTCTCTCCTGCTGTCTGTGGTGTTCTCTCTCCTGCTGTCTGTGGTGTTCTCTCTCCTGCTGTCTGTAGTATTCTCTCTCCTGCTGTCTGTAGTGTTCCCTCTCCTGCTGTCTGTAGTGTTCCCTCTCCTGCTGTCTGTGGTGTTCTCTCTCCTGCTGTCTGTAGTGTTCTCTCTCCTGCTGTCTGTAGTGTTCTCTCTCCTGCTGTCTGTAGTGTTCCCTCTCCTGCTGTCTGTGGTGTTCTCTCTCCTGCTGTCTGTAGTGTTCTCTCTCCTGCTGTCTGTGGTGTTCTCTCTCCTGCTGTCTGTAGTATTCTCTCTCCTGCTGTCTGTAGTGTTCTCTCTCCTGCTGTCTGTAGTGTTCCCTCTCCTGCTGTCTGTGGTGTTCTCTCTCCTGCTGTCTGTAGTGTTCCCTCTCCTGCTGTCTGTAGTGTTCCCTCTCCTGCTGTCTGTGGTGTTCTCTCTCCTGCTGTCTGTGGTGTTCCCTCTCCTGCTGTCTGTAGTATTGTCTCTCCTGCTGTCTGTGGTGTTCTCTCTCCTGCTGTCTGTAGTGTTCTCTCTCCTGCTGTCTGTGGTGTTCTCTCTCCTGCTGTCTGTAGTGTTCTCTCTCCTGCTGTCTGTGGTGTTCTCTCTCCTGCTGTCTGTAGTGTTCTCTCTCCTGCTGTCTGTGGTGTTCTCTCTCCTGCTGTCTGTAGTATTCTCTCTCCTGCTGTCTGTAGTGTTCCCTCTCCTGCTGTCTGTAGTGTTCTCTCTCCTGCTGTCTGTGGTGTTCTCTCTCCTGCTGTCTGTGGTGTTCTCTCTCCTGCTGTCTGTGGTGTTCTCTCTCCTGCTGTCTGTAGTGTTCTCTCTCCTGCTGTCTGTAGTGTTCTCTCTCCTGCTGTCTGTGGTGTTCCCTCTCCTGCTGTCTGTAGTGTTCTCTCTCCTGCTGTCTGTGGTGTTCTCTCTCCTGCTGTCTGTGGTGTTCTCTCTCCTGCTGTCTGTGGTGTTCCCTCTCCTGCTGTCTGTGGTGTTCTCTCTCCTGCTGTCTGTGGTGTTCCCTCTCCTGCTGTCTGTGGTGTTCTCTCTCTCCTGCTGTCTGTGGTGTTCCCTCTCCTGCTGTCTGTGGTGTTCTCTCTCCTGCTGTCTGTGGTGTTCCCTCTCCTGCTGTCTGTGGTGTTCTCTCTCCTGCTGTCTGTGGTGTTCCCTCTCCTGCTGTCTGTGGTGTTCCCTATCCTGCTGTCTGTGGTGTTCTCTCTCCTGCTGTCTGTGGTGTTCCCTCTCCTGCTGTCTGTGGTGTTCTCTATCCTGCTGTCTGTGGTGTTCTCTATCCTGCTGTCTGTGGTGTTCTCTATCCTGCTGTCTGTGGTGTTCCCTCTCCTGCTGTCTGTGGTGTTCTCTCTCCTGCTGTCTGTAGTGTTCTCTCTCCTGCTGTCTGTGGTGTTCTCTCTCCTGCTGTCTGTAGTGTTCTCTCTCCTGCTGTCTGTAGTGTTCTCTCTCCTGCTGTCTGTAGTGTTCTCTATCCTGCTGTCTGTGGTGTTCTCTATCCTGCTGTCTGTGGTGTTCCCTCTCCTGCTGTCTGTGGTGTTCCCTCTCCTGCTGTCTGTAGTGTTCTCTCTCCTGCTGTCTGTGGTGTTCTCTATCCTGCTGTCTGTGGTGTTCTCTATCCTGCTGTCTGTGGTGTTCCCTCTCCTGCTGTCTGTGGTGTTCCCTCTCCTGCTGTCTGTAGTGTTCTCTCTCCTGCTGTCTGTGGTGTTCTCTATCCTGCTGTCTGTGGTGTTCTCTATCCTGCTGTCTGTGGTGTTCTCTCTCCTGCTGTCTGTGGTGTTCTCTATCCTGCTGTCTGTGGTGTTCTCTCTCCTGCTGTCTGTAGTGTTCTCTCTCCTGCTGTCTGTGGTGTTCTCTATCCTGCTGTCTGTGGTGTTCCCTCTCCTGCTGTCTGTAGTGTTCCCTCTCCTGCTGTCTGTGGTGTTCTCTCTCCTGCTGTCTGTGGTGTTCTCTATCCTGCTGTCTGTGGTGTTCCCTCTCCTGCTGTCTGTGGTGTTCTCTCTCCTGCTGTCTGTAGTGTTCTCTCTCCTGCTGTCTGTGGTGTTCTCTCTCCTGCTGTCTGTAGTGTTCTCTCTCCTGCTGTCTGTAGTGTTCTCTCTCCTGCTGTCTGTAGTGTTCTCTATCCTGCTGTCTGTGGTGTTCTCTATCCTGCTGTCTGTGGTGTTCCCTCTCCTGCTGTCTGTGGTGTTCCCTCTCCTGCTGTCTGTAGTGTTCTCTCTCCTGCTGTCTGTGGTGTTCTCTATCCTGCTGTCTGTGGTGTTCTCTATCCTGCTGTCTGTGGTGTTCCCTCTCCTGCTGTCTGTGGTGTTCCCTCTCCTGCTGTCTGTAGTGTTCTCTCTCCTGCTGTCTGTGGTGTTCTCTATCCTGCTGTCTGTGGTGTTCTCTATCCTGCTGTCTGTGGTGTTCTCTCTCCTGCTGTCTGTGGTGTTCTCTATCCTGCTGTCTGTGGTGTTCTCTCTCCTGCTGTCTGTAGTGTTCTCTCTCCTGCTGTCTGTAGTGTTCTCTCTCCTGCTGTCTGTAGTGTTCCCTCTCCTGCTGTCTGTGGTGTTCTCTCTCCTGCTGTCTGTGGTGTTCTCTCTCCTGCTGTCTGTGGTGTTCTCTCTCCTGCTGTCTGTGGTGTTCTCTATCCTGCTGTCTGTGGTGTTCTCTATCCTGCTGTCTGTGGTGTTCTCTCTCCTGCTGTCTGTGGTGTTCCCTCTCCTGCTGTCTGTGGTGTTCCCTCTCCTGCTGTCTGTAGTGTTCTCTCTCCTGCTGTCTGTGGTGTTCTCTCTCCTGCTGTCTGTGGTGTTCCCTCTCCTGCTGTCTGTGGTGTTCCCTCTCCTGCTGTCTGTAGTGTTCTCTCTCCTGCTGTCTGTGGTGTTCTCTATCCTGCTGTCTGTGGTGTTCTCTCTCCTGCTGTCTGTGGTGTTCTCTCTCCTGCTGTCTGTGGTGTTCCCTCTCCTGCTGTCTGTGGTGTTCTCTCTCCTGCTGTCTGTGGTGTTCCCTCTCCTGCTGTCTGTGGTGTTCCCTCTCCTGCTGTCTGTAGTGTTCTCTCTCCTGCTGTCTGTGGTGTTCCCTCTCCTGCTGTCTGTGGTGTTCCCTCTCCTGCTGTCTGTGGTGTTCTCCTCTCCTGCTGTCTGTGGTGTTCCCTCTCCTGCTGTCTGTGGTGTTCCCTCTCCTGCTGTCTGTGGTGTTCTCTCTCCTGCTGTCTGTGGTGTTCCCTCTCCTGCTGTCTGTAGTGTTCCCTCTCCTGCTGTCTGTAGTGTTCTCTCTCCTGCTGTCTGTGGTGTTCCCTCTCCTGCTGTCTGTGGTGTTCCCTCTCCTGCTGTCTGTGGTGTTCCCTCTCCTGCTGTCTGTGGTGTTCTCTCTCCTGCTGTCTGTGGTGTTCCCTCTCCTGCTGTCTGTGGTGTTCCCTCTCCTGCTGTCTGTGGTGTTCTCTCTCCTGCTGTCTGTGGTGTTCCCTCTCCTGCTGTCTGTGGTGTTCCCTCTCCTGCTGTCTGTGGTGTTCTCTCTCCTGCTGTCTGTGGTGTTCCCTCTCCTGCTGTCTGTGGTGTTCCCTCTCCTGCTGTCTGTGGTGTTCCCTCTCCTGCTGTCTGTAGTGTTCTCTCTCCTGCTGTCTGTGGTGTTCCCTCTCCTGCTGTCTGTGGTGTTCCCTCTCCTGCTGTCTGTGGTGTTCTCTCTCCTGCTGTCTGTGGTGTTCTCTCTCCTGCTGTCTGTGGTGTTCTCTCTCCTGCTGTCTGTGGTGTTCTCTATCCTGCTGTCTGTGGTGTTCTCTCTCCTGCTGTCTGTGGTGTTCTCTCTCCTGCTGTCTGTGGTGTTCCCTCTCCTGCTGTCTGTGGTGTTCTCTCTCCTGCTGTCTGTGGTGTTCCCTCTCCTGCTGTCTGTAGTGTTCTCTATCCTGCTGTCTGTAGTGTTCCCTCTCCTGCTGTCTGTGGTGTTCCCTCTCCTGCTGTCTGTGGTGTTCCCTCTCCTGCTGTCTGTAGTGTTCCCTCTCCTGCTGTCTGTGGTGTTCTCTCTCCTGCTGTCTGTGGTGTTCCCTCTCCTGCTGTCTGTAGTGTTCTCTATCCTGCTGTCTGTGGTGTTCTCTATCCTGCTGTCTGTGGTGTTCTCTATCCTGCTGTCTGTGGTGTTCTCTCTCCTGCTGTCTGTAGTGTTCTCTATCCTGCTGTCTGTGGTGTTCCCTCTCCTGCTGTCTGTAGTGTTCTCTATCCTGCTGTCTGTGGTGTTCTCTATCCTGCTGTCTGTGGTGTTCCCTCTCCTGCTGTCTGTGGTGTTCTCTATCCTGCTGTCTGTAGTGTTCTCTATCCTGCTGTCTGTGGTGTTCTCTCTCCTGCTGTCTGTAGTGTTCTCTCTCCTGCTGTCTGTAGTGTTCTCTCTCCTGCTGTCTGTAGTGTTCTCTCTCCTGCTGTCTGTGGTGTTCTCTCTCCTGCTGTCTGTGGTGTTCTCTCTCCTGCTGTCTGTGGTGTTCTCTCTCCTGCTGTCTGTGGTGTTCTCTATCCTGCTGTCTGTGGTGTTCTCTCTCCTGCTGTCTGTAGTGTTCTCTCTCCTGCTGTCTGTGGTGTTCCCTCTCCTGCTGTCTGTGGTGTTCTCTCTCCTGCTGTCTGTGGTGTTCTCTCTCCTGCTGTCTGTGGTGTTCTCTCTCCTGCTGTCTGTAGTGTTCCCTCTCCTGCTGTCTGTGGTGTTCTCTCTCCTGCTGTCTGTGGTGTTCTCTCTCCTGCTGTCTGTAGTGTTCTCTCTCCTGCTGTCTGTGGTGTTCTCTATCCTGCTGTCTGTGGTGTTCTCTCTCCTGCTGTCTGTAGTGTTCTCTCTCCTGCTGTCTGTGGTGTTCTCTCTCCTGCTGTCTGTAGTGTTCTCTCTCCTGCTGTCTGTGGTGTTCTCTCTCCTGCTGTCTGTGGTGTTCCCTCTCCTGCTGTCTGTGGTGTTCTCTCTCCTGCTGTCTGTGGTGTTCCCTCTCCTGCTGTCTGTGGTGTTCTCTCTCCTGCTGTCTGTAGTGTTCCCTCTCCTGCTGTCTGTAGTGTTCCCTCTCCTGCTGTCTGTGGTGTTCTCTCTCCTGCTGTCTGTAGTGTTCCCTCTCCTGCTGTCTGTGGTGTTCTCTCTCCTGCTGTCTGTGGTGTTCTCTCTCCTGCTGTCTGTGGTGTTCTCTCTCCTGCTGTCTGTGGTGTTCTCTCTCCTGCTGTCTGTGGTGTTCCCTCTCCTGCTGTAAATGGTCTGCATCACTGTAACACTCACGTTCCTATTGGCTAGCGCTCTAACACATTGTATGTGATAGAGTAAGGGGCGGGACATCTCTAAGCGGTGGACCAATCACAACAGAGCCAGCCAGCTAACCAATCAGAGCAGCTCTGGTTTCAGACCCATTACAGCTTCCCAGAAGACCTGGTGTCAGAGAGCGTACATTCTTTTAAAAGCCGAGTGAAGACCCACCTTTTTAATTTGGCTTTAATTGAATTGTAATTATTATTCTTTTTTCGGTCCTGTGTTTATTGACTTCTGTTGGAAATTAAGTTTTTCTACCTGGGAAGGGGGGTTAGCATTTTTGTTTATTTGTGTTAAAGTGCTATATAATTAAAGTTTGATTGGATTGAATGTTATCCAGGATCGCATCAGAAATGTCTGTAAAGCTCTGTAACTTATTGACTTCTTGAAAAGCAGTCTCCTGATCTTGCTGAAGTTGGTGAACATCGTTCTTTATTGTACGAGACGTGTGACCTGACCTTCACTCGTCTCTGTTTGTGTCTCTTGTTTGAAACTAGCTCTCACCTACCAACATGTTACATTCTTATTATCACTCAAGGGCAAATGCTGCTCGCCTGCCTTCACAGACATCACCATGCAGAGGCTGTGCTACAAATATAAAATATATATCACATGTTTTAACTCTGTGTTGCATCCAGTCCTTGCAGAATCTCAGAGATCTACTGAACCCCCTTTGCAAAGGTGCCTTATCAGGGTCTATGCAGGCATCCTGAAGTCACATGGAACACCTTTGAAGACCTTTTTTAAGACCCTTTCCATACATTTTAAGACCTCATCGTCACTTTGAGTTTTAACCGGTTACCTTGGCGACACACTTTACCTCACATTGACTATATACAGTATGGATTGTCCTTCCTCCTTATCTTCCAACCATTTGGACGCAGACTTGCATTTCCCCATAACGATGATGCTTAACAACCGGCGTAAACGGAGCTTCGCGCGCTATCAAGCAGTGAGCGTGCGATGTCCTGTTCAGATGACGTCAAACCCAACGGGATGCCATAAATAAACTACACAGAATCACACTACACACCTACGCAATGATTACATTCAGGCAGACTGTAGAATACAACCTCTTTGGACAATTCATATACTTATTGGAAACAAGCTACAAAATGTGATACCTTGGGAAATGCCCTTTAATACTTTTTGATACTTTTTAAGACCCCGCGGACACCCTGCTTATTCTTACTTTAATAGAAAAACACATCATTTATGAGACATGTTGTGGATTAGTTTGATCATTTCCTCATATTGTTTGCTTCTTATCCTGCTTTATATTTTGTTACTGTACATGTATATTTTCTACTTTTTCTTTAATGCTATTTTATTTCTATTGAGATCAAAGTCAACTTTAATGTAAATTATTCTGTGTGTTTGTACAGACAGAGATCGAAATAACGTTTCCAACAATCCCGAATACAAAATACAATAATACAAATATACAAATGTGTATAAATATGTATATCCTCTATATACACAATGAACAGACACATTTACACATATGCACACATTAACCCTTAGATGCCCGAGTGACTGGACCCTACACTCTTCCATAAGTGGGTCAAAAAGGACCCGTATTAGAATAATATGTGTTTTTATGCCATTTTTGTCATTTTGGTTAAGAGAAATCACTTTTATAATATTTAGTATTATATTTTGGTTCACACTAGAAATATTTTATATTTAATTTTTCACTATTTATAATTTTAGACATTTTTTTTACATTTTGAAAAAAAAACGTTTTCCCATAGGATCCCATTGAAAATGCATGCGGTCATTTTTGACCCACTTATGGAAGCTTGGGGTAGTAATACAAAAACTACAATTCCTTAAAATGTAACTTAAAGGGGACCTATCATGCAAAATGCACTTGTGTACGTCTTTTCTACATGAATATGTGTCCCCGGTGTTCCAGGGAACTCACCAAGTGTCAGAAAACACAACCCTCTCTATTTTCCTCCATACCCAAATCTCTAAAAAAGGGGCTGCAACGGATCTGATAAAAACTGATCCAGATTTGAACACTGTCCTGACGTCAGGACGGTGGCGCTACGGCTATTGGGCCAACTCCACCAATCAGGAGGAGACAGCCACGGCCATTGCCGTTCGAAAGCGCTGAAGACGCTGTAGTACATATACCAGGCCTGTAGGTGGTGCTGTTCTGCCCTTATCTGCCCTTACACAAACAGAGCTAAAAAATGTCAAATTGAGCGAAATGAGGCATGGCTAAAATGCATGATCTGTTTGGTATTTTGAAAAAAAAAAAAGTATAAATATGAATATGCCTTATATAGGTATGGTCCTACACTATATTATTCAAATATAGCATGATAGGTCCACTTTAAACATTTGAATGGCATGATATCCAAAACATGTTTTTTGAGGAATAGCTGGAATATGAAATGACAAAAAAATGTAATTACAAAGATACTTCAAGAAAACCACCTCACCGGGTCAAAAAAGACCCACTTATGCATCTAAGGGTTAAGATAAAACACAACAATCAAAATAACAAAATAACAGTCACTTCAATATGTACACAGGGAATGTACATAGTGCAAGATTGTCCATTATCTTATCTTCTTTAAGCTACAGTGGAGCTGCAGCATATCAAACACTGGAGACACAGAGAGAAGAAGAACTACCTGTTTGTGGATATTTACCTGTTGGCTCTGCTCTGATGTTGTGTGTGCAGATGTTTGCAGAGGTGATGAAAGTGTGCAATAAACTCCAGAAAGGTCTGAGGGCTGAACGTCTGATCTCTGAGCAGCACAGACGCATACTGACATGCAGACTGATGGATTCCTGCCATAACCACAGACAGGCCGGCCTCTGAGGTGTCTCTCTCTGCTGAATAAAGGGAAAAGGAGAGTACAGTGTAGATATGACACTACCAGTAAAAAGAGGTAAATATAAGGAGAGTGTAGACTGACTTTTAGGAGGGTTTGTTTTGAGGCATTGAGCAGCAACTTCCACTAGAGACAGTCTGGACCACGGCTGGTAAACGTCCACACACACACTCAGGCTCAGAGCCTTCATCAGCTGTGTCTGCATCACAAAGGATAGAATAGCATTCAATATTCAATTTGACCTGCACTTAGTATAGAGAGCCCTTTCCACCCATCACATCAGAGTAGATTCAGGACTGCGTATACACAACAACATGGACTACAGTTTATTTGAAGGAAATCTTAAGTGAAGATGCAGAAATAAAACACCAAACACTGCACATCCATTTCAAGGTTTTATTTTAAATTGTGTTAATTATATAAAATATTGTAAACCAGCTTGATAATATTGGTACATTTTCATTTTGATATACCCAATGATATACCCTTTTAGTGAGTTTTTTTGGTAAATTCTGAAAAAAACGTTAAAGGAAATCTTGTAGAAATGAAAGACCAAACGCTGCATCCATTTCAAGTGTTAAATGATATTTGATGTAGGGCTGTGCGATTATGGCAAAAATCATAATCACGATTATTTTTGGTCAATAATTGATATCACGATTATTAAAAACGATTATCCATTTACTTTGAAAACATCCATATATTGAAAAAAAAAAGGTGAACAGTATGTTTTTAAAAGTTGATTACCCTGAACTTTAAGTATAATTCAACAGAAAAACCAAAAAAAAAATTACATATATATATTTTTTTTTAATAAATATAATAATCGTTTTATTTCGATTACATTGTTTTCGTAATCGTTGCAAGCCAAAATCGTAATCGAGATTAAAATACGATTAATTGCACAGCCCTAATTTGATGTGTTAACCTGTTAAGCCCTGAGCCTGTTTTTCAGGCCTCAGGCTCGAAAATGACATTCCCAGAACAAATGACCATATCTTCCCTTCTAAAAGGGTTAAATTAATAATCTTTTTTCTCAAAGTAATGATAAACCTGTGAGCTGGATGTAGAAAAGTCAGAATCAATATAGATGTTTTTATTTTAAAGTAAATTCAGATTGAACATAGTAAACAAATGTAAATTATAGTGTCCGTCCAAAAAACAAAAATTACTTATAGTGAAAACCACCCTTGGATGATGGGTTAGTAGACTAAGAGCTTTAGGAATCCAAACTATAACATATAATAAGTACCCTGTATCAAGATTGATGCAAAACAAGTGACATTTGACCTTTTTAGAGAGATTTAGCAAAAAAAACACTTCTGGGGTCATTATTAGAATCTTTAATGACCACACAGCCAGGCTGGTGGAATTCGTGATCAGTGCAGATTATTACAGCTTGTTCCATACAATTCAACATACAATAAACAGACAATACAAAGTACAACACACAGCACAGGGCAAATACATACATCATGACATATATACATAAAGTTCAAGGTGTGGTGGATTGTGATTGTTCATTGGGGTTATTTAGAGTCCATTTAGTGTCCGTATTGCAAAGGGGAAGAAGCTGTTTTTGAAGCGGGTGGTTTTGGTGGACAGTGACCTGTAGCGCCTCCCTGAGGGCAGAAGTTGGAAGACATGGTGAGCTGGGTGGGAGGGGTCAGAAAGGATTTTCTTTGCCCTTGTGACAGTTCGTTGGTGGTGAAGTGATTCGAGTGATGGAAGGGGACTGCAGGTGATTTTTGATGCTTTATTGATGATACGTTGAAGTTTATTCCGGGAGTGGGTGTCTGAACTGCTGTACCAGACTGTGATGGATGATGTGAGGATGCTTTGGAAGATGGCTGTGTAGAACTGGATTAAGAGATGTTTCCTCACTCTGTATTTCTTGAGCTGCCGCAGAAAGAATAGCCTTTGGTTGGCTTTTTTGTAGATGTGGTCTGTGTTGGTCATCCATTTGAGGTTATTGCTTATGTGAGTGCCAAGACATTTGAGTGAGTCTGTGGGGGAAATGAGTGTGCCGGAGATAGATAGAGGTGATTTGGGCTGTGGCCTTCGCCTGAAGTCAATGATTATTTCTTGGGTTTTTGCTGTGTTAAGTAGGAGGTTGTTTTCTGAGCACCAGGTGACTGCTTGATGGATCTGAGTGAGGTATTGTGTTTCATTATTATTTTAGATGAGTCCTGTTATTGTTGTGTCATCTGCATATTTATATATGTTGACTGTGGGGTGCTGAGATGTGAGTTGGTTTGTGTAGAGTGAGAATAACCAGGGGGATAGGACACAGCCTTGTGGAGCTCCTGTACTGAGGTGCAGAGGGAGAGATGTGGAGTTGTTTATTTTGACCCGTTGTTGTCTGTTCCAGAGCAAGCTGTGGATCCAGTGGCAGATCAGTGTTCATGTCCATTAGGGTGTATTTGCCGTTTCTCTGGAACCCAATGGTCGATTATGATGATTGACACCTCTTTTGAACCGTTAGAGCCAATAGAATCAAAGGGAAAGTTCCTAAATCCACATACACGTTCCATGGAGGAGTGAGAGTGATGCACTGAAAACTGAAAACCAAGTTTATTGCTGATGGATTATCAGAAATCATTTCAGACACTATGGATTAACCTTCAGCAGCGTTTTTCTCGTTTTAATGCCATTGAACACAACTGTTGATCAGAACAACAGCAAAGGTAAGACATATTGCCATTTTTGCTACCTAAAGCTACGTTGTGTGATGTCTGGGTTTGATTCCCCTGTGGCGAGTTTTGATCGCTCAGTGATGATACTTATATATCTAGAATCTGTGGAATCTCAGCTTGCTAGCTGATATCTTTTTTTGTGCAGATCCGATAAGTAATAACGTATTTATACCGTGAGTTCTGTGCTAACTGCGTCAGCATTTTTTCGCTCAGGGCTCATTTAGACGCTTCTTGTGAGACTCGTGTTTTGTTTCGGTAAAAATGGTTCGTATCGTCAGTTAGCTGAGTTTCTTCCCATTAGGTGTGTATGACATATTCATAGTTTGTTCAATGTTAAGAAGCCCTGAGACGCTGTTTCTTGCAAGATGTCCCGCGGGGGCATTGGGCTAAACAGGTGAATTAGTTATGTTTGGAACCTGTTTAAATGTTTGTCCGCAGGTTGACTTTTCAAACTAACTGGTCATAAAAGAACAGTTTGTGTTTCGATATTTAATTACAGGTGCATTGGTTCAGTGACAGGTGTTGTAATAAATAAATAAAAAAGGTATTTACAGTCAATCCACGGTCTCCATTGTTTGCAGGAACCTCACTGCTGTCTGTCATTCTGAAGGGCAGCAACAGGAACACGTGCACATTTCTCTGGATTTGGCTCAAGTACCTGTAAAAAAAACAGTATTAACTTGATTAACAATTAATCACATTTTCAAATTTCAGCCCAGATTTGTTGTCTTTAAATAAGATCTAAACGTGGCAACAACAACATCCCAATATTTAAGGCAGTTTCCTCTTACTTCTCAGACATCCAGTAGTCCATACGATATCGTCTTGACTTCCTCACATCAGTCGCTCTGGAAACAACGTTCCTCAGATCCTCGGTGTAAAGTCCTGCTTGTGTTTGGTGAGCCATCGCCGCCAGCAGCTCCCCTCTGATTGGCTGACTGACTCCTTCATGAACCAGTATGATGACCCTAACTCCATCCACTCTTGTTTTGTTCCCAGCTTCTTTGAGGATTTCATGCAACTCATCCTCGTTACCGGGATGCACCTCCATCAGCAGGTATCCGGTTATAAAGGCAGCTAAACGCACTGTGGTTTTACGACCTGTGCCTTTGTTGGAGGCCATCAGCAGTCCGTGACCTCCGGGTATAAGCACTGCCCGGAGGATGTGTAACAGCTGACCCACCCTCTGTCTGTGCACCATGCATCTATTTAAAATATTATAATCAGCTTCCTGTCCTTTGTCTTCCTTGTTTCTGCTGATGAGGACACGCAGTTGCTGCAGTAATACCTCAAGGTCTCTGTCCTGGTAAGTAAAGCTACCCTTAAAAATGTGTTTCTGATTCATTGGAGCCTCAGAAAGATCAGGACCATACACAAGATTAGCCAGTTTGCCCTCCATGTGCTGAAGAATCTGGGGTTGCATAGCGTGAGTTTTTAGGCTTTCTTCTACTGACGAAATGTTTCCAGACAAAGAGGAAGGTTCAGTCAATGTCTGGCCTTCCTTCAGGTCGGATTGTCCAGCTGGTTTTTTCTCTTGAGGCAAATGACGGTTACCTAAACTCTTAGCTATTGGCTGACCTTCTGTGTCCGAGGGGAGTGTGTGAATATCAAGTCTTGTGACATCTAAACTGACAGGAGAAGTTGCATCAGCCAATCTACTTCCATAGTGAGTTGTTGCTGTCATGGCTATGAGGGACTCAAGAGTTTTGCTTTCATCCTCGGAGCATAACCTGTCGCTGAATGTACGCAAACACTCATGCATCCAGAGATGTGCGATGTTAAGGACTGGTTCAGACTCTGGAAGGATTAGTATTGTTTCCTCCTTTTGTTGCATTGTCCCTCTGTCAGGCTGCCAAAGACACAAACCCTTAAACACCTTCTGAAGGTCATGATGGGAAAATATGAAATGGGGCCTCTGCACAGTAGGCTTGAATTGGTCACACACGGCATCGTACACATTTTTAGTTGCAGTGATAATGCAACATGCCATATCCTCAGCACTCTGCGTTAGTGGTGTTTCTTTGAGCCACATCTTTAGCCGAGGAGAATGGATAGACAATATGACGTCCATAGAAAGGCTGGGGAGCACAAAGTTGGAGAACAGGCGTGAGAGCCTGGAGGAAATCACTGTACTGTGTGATCCAGAGACACAACAGGTGGCCATGTAGCTGAGGGAAGCAGCACTCAATAACTTGAAGTTGTAGCCGTCAAATGTTAGAATCTGTCCCGTCGAGATACTCTGTCGGAGCGTTTCTAGAGTCGTAGACATCTTCCCAAAGACATCTATAACAGGAACAATATAAATATTAACCTCAAGAAGCTTCAAACTAAATGTCCTGAAGTTAAAAGTCCCCTATCATACTGTTTTTCATCAATATATCACAGGTCTCAGATATATACAGAGCCTGTCTCTGATTGGCTGAAACACCAAACAGATCATTGCAGCATCCCATAATCCTCTCTGTTTCAGCCCTGTTCCAAAAGTGTGTCTGTAGCTTTAAATGCTAATGAGCTGCTGCTGGCCACGCCCCTCTGAGAGATTATTGGTTAAAAAACACACAAACAATGGTGCTCTAGGAGGAGATTCAGGTGATAAGGTGGGGGGCCGGGGGGGGGGGGGGGGGGGGGGGGGGGGGTTACCTTGGTTGCTGATTGGCTTGCACAACCCAAAATAACATTATGACATCACAAAGTGACCAAAATCTGATCAGCTCATGACAGGTTTTTATAGAGATATATCAGGACAAAAAGTTCCTGAACCTTTCAGAATCTCACAAATGTATGTTAAAGTGGATTTGACATAATAGGTGACCTTTAATGTTCTTACTCACCTCCGGGGGCTTCGTGCAAATCATCCACAAAGAGAAGCAGTCCTGTCTGTTTTGCATTGGGACCTTGATTGTCTCTGCAGTTCTTCGTGCAGTTGATGGTCTTCAGTACGGTGTGCAGGTCTCTGGATCTCAGTAGAGGACTGGCTGGTAGAGTAATGTGTGGCTTCTCAAAACTCAGCAACGTTCTGCACAGAGTCGTTTTTCCAGAACCGGGTTCTCCTGAGAGCAACACCGGCTGGTTCGCCTCCAACATGATGTTCAGAAGAGAGGCATACTTCCTATACTAAATAACAAGACATGTGTTAGTTATAATGTTTAAACAGAGTTATTATATATGTGTGTACTTTCACTGCACAAGAGTATTCTGGACAAACCATGGGAGGGACAGAGTTTGTCAGCAGTGTGTTCTTGGGGCATGTCTTGATCTCGATGTTAAAAAAGTATTCAAACACACTCTCTCCATCAGGAACCACAATTCTGTATCGGCAGGTAAACAGCACTTGATGGGCTACTGAGTCGAACCGTGGCCAGTGGCTGAAGGAAATCATAAAGTATGTGAAGAAAATTGGCGAGAAATGTTGTTTGTGTACAGAAATATGTGATTTATTTTGCAATAACATACAAAATGGATTATTTATGGCATCATTTTGATAAGAAAACCAAAATGGTCTTACCGAGGATGCAGATGTCCACTAAATCCCCAAATGTAAGCCACCAGGAAAAGGTTTCTGTTCAGCAGGCCTTTGCTGTCTGTTCCGGCTCTGTGTAGAGGGGTATCTGGTGGAAAGAAATAGGCGATGAAGTAATAATAAAAGTTAAGTCACTACCTTAGCTTGAATAAGACTTTCTGTTCAACCGTCCTGGTTATACCTTTTTTGTCCACTTGTGGTGTTGCCCCAGCTTTGTCCCCTTCCTTCCCGACATGCTGAAGGAGGGCTCGTAGGATCCGAACAAACGACATGATTTCTCTCATCCCATGCACAACGCCTTCAAGAGATTCTCCTTCATTTTGGATTGCAGATGTTAAAGCGGTAAGCGTGTTGGAGAACAGATCTTCAGCCAAACGATTCCACATTTTCAAGGTTCCTTGATCTAGTTTGTGTTCAGAAGACAGAGCATCCATTTCACTCCTCCACACAGCCTTCCACAGATCAGGACCTGAGAAATAAACCAGGCTGCAGCGGGTCACTGCAGAGGGACTTGCATCACGTAGATCAGTGACCTCCATCACTAGTCTAAGGTGTGGTTGGGATGGCAGTATTTCCCCTGATGACAGGCACAGAAACTGGTCCTGAGGACTGCACATTGTAGTTAAGTAGTCCAACCAGCCTACAGGGTTCCCATCCATCACCAGCCATTTATGTATCTGATCACTTTTCTGCTTCTTTTTGCAGATTTTTGGTTCTGAATCTCTCAGCACCTTTACTACAGCTCCATCTTGCCATCCTCTCTTTTCACAGAAGCTGCCAAATAGCTCCTTGTGGGACATGGCATTAGGAAATAAAACCACGGTGTCCACAGAGTTCCAGGTTGAGATCTGTGGGGTATCTCCTTCCATCCTATTGTCATTTTCTGTCTTAGCAGCCAGGTGATTGAGTGCTTCAGCAAGAGCACAGCGACAGGTTGTCTTTCCACTACCTGAAGGGCCTATGAGAATAACTGCGGGAGAGAGATTCATGGTTTGGTAGAGTCTCAGAGAACTGCTTATTATTTCAGTGTCAGCGTGAAAACATTTCCTTTGTAATTCTTCTGTTAGTGCATCTTTAAGTTGAGTCTTTTCTTCTTCCTCGATGTACTCTTGGAAGAGAGGAAACTGGCATGCAATAGGGAATGTTTCCTTGAGAAGGATGGAGAACTGCAAGGCTTTCTTTTGTTCATAAAGAACAGGTAATGAGACAGAAAGAATGGCTTTGACAATGGCTGTCTCCTCCATTAATCCCTGTATAATGGACAAATGAGAACTGAGAAACCTGGAGGGTTTTTCAGCTTCTTTTCTGTCCTGATCATCAACTCTGACAGTCACAGTTTCTGAAGGTGTAGGATCGGCCTCATCAGAAATGTCTTTTTGCCTTTCACTTTGTTGGAAGTGCATTTCAGATGCAGAGATGATCTTTTGCAAGAGGACAAGATAGGAGCTCTGGTGGTCATTGATGGAATCAGGCAGACAGAGGGAATCCTGGGCCAGGCTGATGAGGTCCACCAGACGTTGACTTAAAGACACAGCGTCTGAGTAACCAATGGAAGTCAGCATTACTTCTGCGATGATCCTGTAATCTGGAAGGGTTAAAGCGATGGGTCTGGTAGCACACCGCAGAATCTCTGGAACCTCAGATGAATACCCTTTGGATGAGATGACAACACATCCATAGCTTGGTCTGGCAGAAATGCTTTTCCCTGCAATCACCATTTGACAATCTGAATGGAGGTTTGTGCAATCTGTGACCCCTATCAGCATTCCAGTCCTTTGGCTCCTCTTTCAGTCTTTGGTTCTTCTTTTTTGTGAACTCTGCGAAGGATTGTTGGATGTCAAATAGATGCTGGCCCAGCATTGAAAGTAATCCTTGTGTTAGTAGGTCTACAGAGTCCAGCAGAAGCCATGCTCCAGTCTGAAGAGCACCCAACAGCATCCTCTGAACAACACCGGGGCTCATAGTTGGACAACATTGCAAGTTGACAACCATTCGCCCTAACGCTTTTCCCAACTGAACCACTGTTGTTTTCTTTCCAGACATGCAAGGTCCCCTCACAAACCCACACCTGTAGCTTGTGAGAGCCAGGAGAATCCCCAGTATCGCCCGATCTGTGGATGGAGTGTGTCCCATCACACAATCTTCTGGACCAAAATACTCATAATCATATTGGAGTCGATGGCCCAAAACATCCACATGACATGTTGGATCATCCGTCAGACTACAATCTTCTGAGTTTATATGATACTTCATGAAACTTAGCCACTCGAAAGACGACTCTGGAAGACTCTGTACCTCCATGAGCCGAGAAAGCTGCTGGGAATGCTTCATTGTAAGTTGCACCAAAGCTCGCAGACACATCATCCTGTACTTAGAGACCAAAGACTCACAGTCAGACCCTGTGACTCCATCCCTGATGAAACGGCCAAGGGTTTTCCATTTTGCAGAGTTGTATGCCTTTATGTTTCTTAACATCACTGGACTTGACTCTTGGAAAGCTTGTAGGACAGACTTGCACCAAACTGCCTCCTCCACCACCAGCAGACACTGAAGAGGGTATTCAGACACGAGATCCAGCACAGGGAGGGCGACTTTCCTTCTTTCAGCAATTTGAAATACAATGTCTTTTACTTCTTTATCAAATGCCACATCTTCAGTGGGTGGTTCAAGCTGGATTCTCACAATAGCACATTTCTTCATGAGTTGCACCATGGTCAACGTTAACTCTTTCTCAAAGATAGACAGCCAACCTAAGGCATTGGGATTTGGTTCCAAAGGAGATGGAAAGGTAATGTGCTCCTGGAGGCTGCCGAAAAACCCCAGAACCTTCATCTGACTCTCAGATGTAGCCCCACAGATCTTTACACCTGTCTGATTAGATGGTACTACACAATCCACTTCTAGCCAACGTATCCCTTTAAAGCATTTGCGTACAAAAGGCTGCAGTGTGCAAGACGTTGGTTCAAAGGAGAGTAGCTGTATCCTCTCCCTATCACTTAAGAACCACAGTCTTGGAAACTGTTGACAGAGGCTCTCCAGGAAGTCAGACATCTGGCTGGAAATGGCCTCCATTGTCGAGACACCGTCAATGAGAATCTGGTGGAAGTTTCTGCCATGAAATCTCTCATTTGTTTTCTTTGGATTAACAAAGTTCCACACATGAGTGTCACTTGAGACAGACTGAATAATATCCTTAAAGGTCTCATCAATTGGTTGGAATTGCTCCAGCTGTGAAGAAAATAGGAAAAGCTCTGCAATCAGATTCATAGCACTGCAACATTGTGATATATTATATATAAATATAAAGGTGACATACCAGCTCCACACTCTGCACACTTATGGATGTTTCATGGAACATCTTGGTCAAGAAAGCCCATAACTGCTGGTATCTTTCAAATAAACAAAGCAGCTTCCCTATTAATAATGAACAGAAAACAAAAGGACATTACAATGTTCAAACTGTTACAAAAATTGGATGCAAATGTTCTCTTTGGTTGAATATCCACCATACCGAGATCGTGCATTGATTGGAACAAATGTTCATTCTGCAGCCTGAACTCAACATTGTGTGGGGACTTCAACATGGTGGACAGAGTCATCAAATCGTTCTCTATCTCAGCAAAGTGTATCTCCAGACCTGAGTAAGAAGACACATGGTTAACCCCAGCAAACTGTAAGCTGAGTGTTGATTTTACACATGTTCTAGCTTGTTATTAGGTCTCACCAATGACGATGAGTCTTGGATCATTACAGGTGTGTTGATTGGCAGTTTGGAGTTTTGAAACTGTGCCCTCTGTGGGTTTCTTTGTTTCTGGTAATACATGTTGTGGTTTTTGATGCTGCCAAACAGGCAGAGTGAATTTATCCAGCTGGAATAGTCTGGGTTTCCATTCCTGTTGAAGCTTTATGAAGTTCTGCTCCATGTTATACTCTGCTTGTGCATCCCTGCATATCTGAAAGAGTAAGAAGAAAGGTAAGAACAATATAAGTGTGAAGGGGTGTCGTATTTCTGTTACACAGTGGCGAGCCGTCAGGGCCCTCTAGGCCCTCTCTGAGGGCCTAAGATATTCTACAAAATAATATTTAAAAACATTTTTTTTAAAAGAAAATTGTTATATTTTTCATTAGTTTTACCAAAATAACTTGATTTAATTGTATTTAAAAAAACATTTCCAAAGAAATGAATCCTTCGAATCTGCCTGTTAAGTTTCTGTTTGAATGTGAAGGGTTAAATGAAAGAAGCTCGTCTCTGCGAGTTACTGTAAAGACAGGAGCTGATTGGTCCTGCTGTGAATTCACAGAGGGCCCGCTATAGTAACTGAACGAGAGAGTAATGTCAAATGACAGTACAATTGACCAATCATATCTTCCCTCTAAATGGGTGGGTTTTATTATCGCGGACTTTATGAGAAGTTCCGCCCCCTGTGAAGCTTTTCTTGTTTCCATAGCAACAACAACTTCCTGTCAACAGCGTAAACTCGCCTTCAAAATAAAAGCATGTCCATAAAAAATAGGAAGTCAAGCCAAATTACACTTAAGACATACAACTGCAACGAAAGTAACAAACACAATGCAATATCCTTTTCAATTTCAAAGAACACAAAATGGGTTATATACAGGTGTTATTTTGTGTGGTAGAGGGTCGCTGTCATTGATGCGTTTTGCACCCCGGGCCGTTGTTTTGATATTCCGCTGAAGTATACGCTGTGACATAATAGCTCTTTTTTTTTTTTTCGAGGGAAGGGGTGGGGGTCAGAGGGCCTAGGTATAAAAGTCACGGCTCGCCACTGCTGTTACATGATTATATATGTTAGAAGTAGCTAATGGGCTATAAAAGAACTACAGCACGGTCACATGACTTCACGTCACCACCGCTAAGCTAAAGGTGGCTAATGTTGGGCTATAAAGGAGCTACAGCACGGTCACATGACTTCACGTCACCACCGCTAAGCTAAAGGTGGCTAATGTTGGGCTATAAAGGAACTACAGCATGGTCACATGACTTCACGTTACCACCGCTAAGCTAAAGGAGACTAATGTTGGGCTATAAAGGAACTACAGCACGGTCACATGACTTCACGTCACCACCGCTAAGCTAAAGGCGGCTAATGTTGGGCTATAAAGGAACTACAGCATGGTCACATGACTTCACGTCACCACCGCTAAGCTAAAGGAGGCTAATGTTGGGCTATAAAGGAACTACAGCACGGTCACATGACTTCACGTCACCACCGCTAAGCTAAAGGAGGCTAATGTTGGGCTATAAAGGAACTACAGCACGGTCACATGACTTCACGTCACCACCGCTAAGCTAAAGGCGGCTAATGTTGGGCTATAGAGGAACTACAGCATGGTCACATGACTTCACGTCAGCACGCTAAGCTAAAGGTGGCTAATGTTGGGCTATAAAGGAACTACAGCACGGTCACATGACTTCACGTCACCACCGCTAAGCTAAAGGTGGCTAATGTTGGGCGTGATGACGTTTAGTCGTCTCATTTAGACACTTGTTAGCAACCTCTGTTTTTAAATTCACCAGTGAAGTATTTACTGACGATATATTTTATATCATAAGCAAAACGTTAAAATTTCTTCAGCTTGTGTTAACCACAGACCTGATTTCCGTAAAACAACCAAAAACACACAGAGAAAACCATTGACCTCCAGACCCGGGGACAGGAAGTGATGAAATGCTGATACCTTTCTTGGTTTTAGGACTCATTGCTCCACCTCTCTATTTAGGATCAACAGCCATTTCGTTTCCTGGTTGTAGAACCAGAAACAGCCCAGTGTGTACATCTCTCTCCTGTTCTCACCTTGTTGATTAGTTCCTGGTGAACTTCAAGAGGTAGAGACGTCAGTTCAGCGACAGTCACCTTCTTCTCTGGGACAAACCGCAGACCCATGCCTGGCAGAATACATGTATTTTAGTTGGTAAATATTCTGTGGATGAATGCATGTGTTACAATATTGGCAAAGTATCTGACCTTCAAAAATGTCTTTCCAGTGTCTGTGTGTCAGCATTGGGCTTTGCAGTTTGGCCATGACCTCAACGTGATACTCTAAACTTTCCAGGTTTCCTAAAGCCTGCTTCAGCACTGCATCATGGGTAGGTATGATGCTTGTTAGAGACAAAGTTCGCTCCTTCCACTTGGCAATTTTCCCCTGAGCTTCTGACACCACTACCTGACAGGAAGAGATTCAAACAGATTTGTTGGTTTAAATAGACAATAGTGATTGCAAAACAACATTTTCTTAACTATCGCTTTTATAAACAGTGCTTGGAATATCTTTGTTTATTTACTACGATCCAGGCCACTACTCTTGTTATTAAAAGGTACTTTGATCCTCCATAGATATAAAGGACAATTAAGTACATGTTTTATAGGTAGTCACGATTCGATGAAGAGTGGTGTGCTGAAACACCTGGTGTGTTTCCCTGGTTGCTGCATAAAGTCTAAGTGCCATGTTCGCGGGACATTACGGAGCTCACGCCGTAGAAACAAATGGAAAACAGCGTTGTGGCGAGACGGAAAAATGTGAATCGATTCTTGGAATTTCTGAATCGATTCTGAATCGGCAGAGATAGAATCGCGATTCTTATTGTGCACAGTGGTGTAAAGTAACTAAGTACATTTACTCAAGTACTTAAGTACAACTTTGAGGTAATTGTACTTTACTTGAGTATTTCCATTTTATGCTACTGTGTACTTTTCCTCCACTACATGTATGTAATCCCTTTAGTTACTTCACAGATGTGGATGAATGATGTGAAATATAATCAAGTGTTAAATCAGACTTTAGTTCCACCTGGAGTAAATCCACAAGCTACCCTGCAGTATACAAAGTCATTCAAACTAGCTGCACCTTTACCAGCTTTGAGAACACTTTCATGATCAATCATTATAAAACATATCATATATATTATTCTGAAATGGACCAATCTGCACAATGACTACTTTTACTGTCTCTACTTTCACTATATTTTGATGATAATACTTTTCTACTTTAGCTTGAGGAACATTTTGAATGCAGGACTTTTACTGTAACAGAGTATTCCTACACTCTGGTACTTCTACTTTTACTCAAGTACAAGATCTGAGTACTTCTACTTTTACTCAAGTACAAGATCTGAGTACTTCTACTTTTACTCAAGTACAAGATCTGAGTACTTCTCCCACGTCTGGTTGTGCATTTCTCATTAATTCATTAACAACACATTTTGTGAATTACAGACGTGGATTTGAAATGTCACCTCAGTGAGAAGCAGCTGTTTCCACTCTTCTCTCCATGTTGTGTACGCAGAGACGATCTCCCACAACTCTTTACAGGCTTTGACCCTCTGAACATCGGCTGTTAAAATGGACAAATCCTTTGGATGTTCTAACGGGAGGAAATAAAACATGACAAGATGTTCTAAATATATAACATGAAACACTTTGTTTGATATGGTTGTTATAGGACCAAACCCACCACATTGCTTTTTGCGGTTCTTAAGCTTGTTTGAAGTAAATCACAGAAATGATTAGTATCATCTCACCGTGTAGGTTTTGACTTTTGCTGCTCAGTTGCTCCAGCTTTGCGTTGAGATTCTGCACATGAACACACATGAGGCTCAGTCTGGAAACCATCTCTTTAGCCTCCTGGCTCGGGTCGATGAAGGGTCCGGCTGTAGCTTTAGAGACGGTGTTTTTAAGGTCGCAGGCCAAGACTGAGAACATGGCGTCCAAGGCGTTTGCCATTGAAGGAAGACGACAAGACACAATGCTGTCTGCTTCCTTTAGGAGGGGAATGAAGCCATCCCACAAGGCCAGCATCTGAACAAAGAAACACACACACACACACTGTAGAGTTCAAATAGCTTTCTCGAATGAATGCATGAAACTACTAATCTTACAGCGCAGACCTTTTCTTTCACAGTCTCCTCCTGTTCAGTCATCTTCCTGTAGTTCTTACAGAGAGTTTCCTGGAGGGAGTGAATGTACTCCAAATGTCTCTGCATGTCAGGACACATCTTCACACACTCCCTCATCTGAAATGATGAGCCAGATTAAAACATTTGTGTTGTCATGTTAATTGATTGTCCTGCCTCACAAACTATAGCATGTTAAATCAGTGGCATTAAGGGCATGCAGGACATTCATTTGACAGCATTGTAGTTTTTTTAACTTGAATTTGAAAGGCTGTGTATTGGAAGAATCTGAGGATATGATAAGTATCATGATACAGGGGTTATAAATAAATAAATATATTGCATAACGGAGCGTCCACACAGCAGCGTTAAAAAAATCTTGGAGGTGGGCGTATCTGAAGCTTGGGGATTTTTTGCGAGCAAGGCACCAACAACCAATCACATGAATCTCCCGCCCCCGACATACGAAGCCAAAAAGCCCGAAGTAAACTGGATATAAACTCCCCAAACAGGCGAAAACCTACCACTGTCTCTGCCACCTCCCTCCATGCCTGGCTCCTCCGGTTTGTATCCCGGTAGGTAAATAGGGACTGGTCATAAAGCACCGGGTGATTCCCTACCGCTCATTTCTCCTCCATGTTTTGGAATATGAGGAAATGACCTGCGGTATGTCTCTCCCAGCATACACGCGGTTTGATTGGCTAGCGCTTGAACTGTCAGATTTGCATACACGGGATTTGATTGGCTGACGCTTCCACCTCAGCTTCAAAAGTTGAACATTGCTCAACTTTGAATCCTGAAAATCCTGAAAATCTCCGCTCTGCTGCCCACAATGCAGTTCGGCGAAAAGTGAGGCAAAGTGACGTCACCCCATTCAAAGTGAATGGGCAGAAGCGTTCCAAGATTTTTAACGCTGCTGTGTGGACGGTCTGTAACTGTAAGCAAGACTGTGATTAAGAGGATGTTTGTTGTGAGATTACCCTTTATTAATCCTCAAGTTTCCCACTCTGTAGTTGTATACACACACAAATACACATGCACTTTTATAGAGGCACCAGAGTGAAGAGGTTGCAAGGTTGTAGTTGATCGGAACTTGAACCGGCGACCCTTCAGATCCGAAGCAAACTGAGTATAATAATCAGTCACATTTTTGGCAAAGAAATCACCATATGCATGAAATCTGAGAGAAAATGTTTAATATGTTTGCAATAGCAACAATGAGATCTGCGATTGCATTTATCAGAGTTACATCCAACAACATTGCAATATTTTGAGATGTCACAAACGCACAATCAATAAGGATTGACTGAGTCATTATTTGCATGTAAAATATGAATTAAAAGTCGCTACAGTATCACAAAACATAACATGGCAATATAATAGATAGAGTATATATGAAGAGGCTAAACAGTTGCAGTTATTGGTGACTTTCAGATCTCTTAGCTCAGGGGTCGGCAACCCGCGGCTCGAGAGCCCTCTGCTCTGGCTCCCTTGAGCTTAGACAAAAATAAGAAGGAAATCAAATAAAAGTATCGGAGGAACACAGGATTTAATTCTGCGTGGTTAGAGTTATCTGCTTTCAAGCAAACGATGCTGGCTTACCGGGATGTTTGATATGTTGAGAGAAGTTGTCAAAGGTGCTGCAGCCTTTACGTATCGAGGAGAAACACGGGAGAGGAAGACAGCTGACGATCTTCATCATAACTCAATCAGTTAACTCTCTTTAGGGTGCAGCTATAGGTTTGATTTATTTCAAAGTGGGCCCATTTTAATTATATTTGTTTTCCTTCAAATGTGTAGAGGACTCCCAAGTGCTGTGTTGATTCATTTTAAAGTAGGCCTGTGTATTTTTTTGTATTCTCCTTATAAGAGTTCTTTGTTTATTATTAGAGGTTAACGGTTTTATTACATTATAAAACCGTTAACCTCTAATAAGAAACAAAGAACTCTTATAAGGAGGATATAATAAATGCTATGATGTAACAATAAATACAACTTTATAAGCTATCAAGCTATCAAATATGTTTTGCGGCTCCAGACAAAAACAAGTGTTGGAAAAGGTAGCAAAATGGCTCTTTTGGTCAAAAAGGTTGCAGACCCCTGTCTTAGACCAATACATAATGTTGGGTAAAATACATTAGAGTTTCTTTCTCCCTGAAAAGTGTTTTTCTCAAAAACAAAGTGTTGGTTTTGGAATCAGAAATCATCAAATCTCTAATATCAGGTGGGTAAAATAATACCTTGCGCTAAAGAGTATTTAGTAATCCTTAAGTGTTGACATGTGGAGGTGAATGCGAGTCTCTACAGGAGAGGGTCAGGATAAGGTGAAATATAACCAAACTACAAACTCTCACTCTGACGTGATACTTTATTTTAAAACTGTTTGACAACCCATCATCTCAAAAGTTCAACTCCTGCAGTTACACAAGAAAGCACTAGTGTTTCTTTAAATACCACTTTAAAGACCTTACCTTTCATTCTGTGACGATGGATCTAAATTCAGAACACTTTAAAAAGACAGAGCCTTTTGGGATGAATAATTAAATGAAAGTGTGACTAAAAGAAGAGACTCAGAGGATCTGGAACTAGGCAAACTAAAGAGTTTCAAGGAATATTTCATCTCTTTTGCATAACTGGAAATCTGTTTTAACTATGTAAGTGTAAAGGGTGTTTTTTACCATGAGAGCGTATGTGGAGAGCTCCTGCAGGTCTCCTGGTTCTGTCCTGAGTCGAGCAGCATATCTCTGCAGGTCTGATGAGACGTTTTCAGAGAGAGTCTGGATCTGCTGCACCAGCTGCTGCTGCAGTTTCTCCTCGAGCAACCTCAGCTGTTGCTCTTAAAAAAACAGAAGGTATTCATTTAAAAGATATAGCTTACACATCATGGATACAGCATTAATACTGATACATCCATTAGCTGTCAGATCTTACCACATGGTCCTTATACATGTTTAATGTTCTATCATTTACCAATATTTCAATCTTTCATCAAAAATATAAACTTGGTGAGGGAAAATAAAAATTCTAAGAAAAAGTCTGATTCCTGAAAAAAGTCAAAATTATGAAAAATAGTCAAAAAATCATGAGAAAAGTCAAAATTCGAAGAAAAAAACATTATGAGAAAAAGTCTGATTTCTGAAAAAATGTCAAAATTGTGAGAAAAGTCAAAATTGTGAGAAAAAGTCTGATTCCTGAAAAAAGTCAAAATTATGAAAAATAGTCAAAAAATCATGAGAAAAGTCAAAATTCTAAGAAAAAAACATTATGAGAAAAAGTCTGATTTCTGAAAAAATGTCAAAATTGTGAGAAAAGTCAAAATTGTGAGAAAAGTCAAAATTGTGAGGGAAAGTCAAAATTCTAAGAAAAAGTCTAATATGTAAAAAAAGTCAAAATTCTAAGAAAAAGTCTGATTCCTGAACAAAGTCAAAATTATGAAAAATAGTCAAAAAATCATGAGAAAAGTCAAAATTCGAAGAAAAACTCAAAATTCGAAGAAAAACTCAAAATGGTTATGAGAGTGAAATCCCTTTATAGAGGACATACGGAGTGGCTCCTTGATGCGGCTGCACTGGATGTTGATCAGCTGGTTGGAGGTGGAGACAGAGGAGGGGACGCTGGAGAGTCTTTCTGTCAGGCAGCGGGTCTTCTCTATCAGATCCTGGTACTGTGAAGCAGGCTGATCCTTCAGGGAGGCCAGAGAGGAAATACTCCTTTCACTAATGAACACATTAATGTCCACCAACCAGGAGAAGCTCTCACACAGCTGCTGGATCTCTAGGTCTGCTTCCTGTCCACAGAACACAGAGGAGAACACATGAGCCAGTCAACAGGTTCATGTTAACTAACAACTCTTTAAGCGCATTTAAAATCAATCAAAGTTGACTAAAGTAATGAATTATAATCAAATAATCTTCTTGATGATTTTCTTGGTCAGAAAATAGTTTAAAATGATGAAAACATCCCAGTTTTCAACGTCCCCGGTACGCAAAAAACGCAACATCTTGCAAGAAACAGCGTCTGAGGGCTTCTTAACATTTAATAAACTATGAATGTGTCATATCCACTTAACGGGAAGAAACTCAGCTATCAGACAATATTAACAATTTTTTGCTAAACGAAACACAAGGGTAATAACAAAGGCTCTGAATTAGCCCTGAGCGAAAAAATGCTAACGCACCTAGCACAGAACTCACCCTATTACTTATCGTATGTTATGTTATGTCAATAACGGAGTGTTCATATAAAGCTGCTATGATAGCTTCCGGTTTTGGGCATTCTGGCTACGCATTCTGGCTATGCATCACTCATTCACCAATGGGTAATGTTTAGATGGATTTTAGGAACTTCCCCTTCGATTCTATTGGCTCTAACGGTTAAAAAGAGGTGTCAATCATCAAAATCGACCTAGGGGGGCCAGAGATATGGAAAATCCACCCAAATGACCCCAGAAGTGTTTTCTTTTTGCTAAACCTCTCTAAAAAGGTCAAATGTCACTTGTTTTGCATCAATCTTGATACAGGGTACTCATTATATGTTATAGTTTGGATTCCTAAAGCTTTTAGTCTACTAACCCATCATCCAAGGGTAGTTTTCACTATAAGTAATGTTTTTTTTTGGACGGACACTATAATTTACATTTTTTTACCATCTTCAATCTGAATTTACTTTAAAATATAAACATCTATATTGATTCTGACTTTTCTCCATCCAACTCACAGGTTTATCATTACTTTGAGAAAAAGGATTATTAATTTAACCCTTTTAGAAGAGAAGATATGGTCATTTGTTCTGGGAATGTCATTTTCGAGCCTGAGACCTGAAAAACAGGCTCAGGGCTTAACTGGTTATTTAGGGTTTCAAGTTATTTACTTTAAAGGTCACCTATTATGCAAAATGTCATATATTTTCTACATCAACATGTGTCTCCTCTTCTTCATGTCTCTTCTTCATCAACATGTGTCCCCTCTTCTTCATGTCTCTTCTACATCACCATGTGTCCCCTCTTCTTCATGTCTCTTCTACATCACCATGTGTCCCCTCTTCTTCATGTCTCTTCTTCATCAACATGTGTCCCCTCTTCTTCATGTCTCTTCTACATCAACATGTGTCCCCTCTTCTTCATGTCTCTTCTTCATCAACATGTGTCCCCTCTTCTTCATGTCTCTTCTACATCAACATGTGTCCCCTCTTCTTTATGTCTCTTCTACATCAACATGTGTCCCCTCTTCTTCATGTCTCTTCTACATCAACATGTGTCCCCTCTTCTTCATGTCTCTTCTACATCAACATGTGTCCCCTCTTCTTCATGTCTCTTCTACATCAACACGTGTCCCCTCTTCTTCATGTCTCTTCTACATCAACACGTGTCCCCTCTTCTTCATGTCTCTTCTACATCACCACGTGTCCCCTCTTCTTCATGTCTCTTCTTCATCAACATGTGTCCCCTCTTCTTCATGTCTCTTCTACATCAACATGTGTCGCCTCTTCTTCATGTCTCTTCTACATCACCACGTGTCCCCTCTTCTTCATGTCTCCTCTTCATCAACATGTGTCCCCTCTTCTTCATGTCTCTTCTACATCAACATGTGTCCCCTCTTCTTCATGTCTCTTCTACATCAACATGTGTCCCCTCTTCTTCATGTCTCTTCTTCATCAACATGTGTCCCCTCTTCTTCATGTCTCTTCTTCATCAACATGTGTCCCCTCTTCTTCATGTCTCTTCTACATCAACATGTGTCCCCTCTTCTTCATGTCTCTTCTTCATCAACATGTGTCCCCTCTTCTTCATGTCTCTTCTACATCAACATGTGTCCCCTCTTCTTCATGTCTCTTCTACATCAACATGTGTCCCCTCTTCTTCATGTCTCTTCTACATCACCATGTGTCCCCTCTTCTTCATGTCTCTTCTACATCAACATGTGTCCCCTCTTCTTCATGTCTCTTCTACATCAACATGTGTCCCCTCTTCTTCATGTCTCTTCTACATCACCATGTGTCCCCTCTTCTTCATGTCTCTTCTTCATCAACATGTGTCCCCTCTTCTTCATGTCTCTTCTACATCAACATGTGTCGCCTCTTCTTCATGTCTCTTCTACATCAACATGTGTCCCCTCTTCTTCATGTCTCTTCTACATCAACATGTGTCCCCTCTTCTTCATGTCTCCTCTTCATCAACATGTGTCCCCTCTTCTTCATGTCTCTTCTACATCAACATGTGTCCCCTCTTCTTCATGTCTCTTCTTCATCAACATGTGTCCCCTCTTCTTCATGTCTCTTCTACATCAACATGTGTCCCCTCTTCTTCATGTCTCTTCTACATCAACATGTGTCCCCTCTTCTTCATGTCTCTTCTACATCAACATGTGTCCCCTCTTCTTCATGTCTCTTCTACATCAACATGTGTCCCCTCTTCTTCATGTCTCTTCTTCATCAACATGTGTCCCCTCTTCTTCATGTCTCTTCTACATCAACATGTGTCCCCTCTTCTTCATGTCTCTTCTACATCAACATGTGTCCCCTCTTCTTCATGTCTCTTCTTCATCAACATGTGTCCCCTCTTCTTCATGTCTCTTCTTCATCAACATGTGTCCCCTCTGTGTAAAGAGACTCTGAAAGTTTCAGGAACAAAGATTCTCTCTCTTTTTGTCCTGATCCATTTATATAAAAACCTGTCTGAAAATGAGCTGATCAGATTTTGGCCACTTTATGATGTCATAACGATGTTTTGGCTTGTGTAACCATCAGAGCAGTGGTTCCCAACCTGTGGGCCGCGGCCCCCTAGTGGTCCGCCAAGGCATTGCAAGTGGGCCGCCAAATTATTATTATTATTTTTCTATTTTTTTGGTACAGGCTAAAGACACAAACATGGACATAACAATACCATATAGGAGATGACATTCCCATCTCAAACAAAAACAAAACAAAAACAGAAGAAATAAAGATACAGTCAGTAGGATCACTTAACATTTCACAAACAAAAATAGGTTGACAACCAAAAACACAACATGGCATATTTATAGTTCCTTTAATCCCACTCTTCGTTAGAGCTCATTATTTCACATTTCATGGCGTGTTCAGCCTTTGATTTTTTGTGGCAATAATTCTTTTCAAAATAAATTGTATTTTTAATCTACTTTTCAAACACCTTTAAATTAAGATTACTCCTTGATTGACTTTTAAAAATATGTATTTTAGCCAGAAGAATAGTTGTATTTATTAACTGTGTGCGGTCTTCATCTAAAAGCCCAAATAACAAATTAAAGGGTGTAAATGCCATTCAATATTTGCCGCCAAATAATTTGCAAAACATTATGATTTGTGTGGAAACATTTTCATTATTAAGATTTATTTTCATTTTAACCTCTTTTCCTTTCTCTTTCTTGATCCTCCTTAGCAACGGTCATTACAGTCCTTGACAGCAGTCTGTTCTACTGGATTAACAACGTGTCACATGTTCTGAATCGACCAATCAGAACTTTATTTAGCCTCCATATTGTTTATGGTTGAATGTGGGCCGCAAAAAGACATTTGATTGTTAAGTGGCCCCTGAGTTGAAAAAGGTTGGGAACCGCTGCATTAGCCAATCACCAACCAAGGTAACCCCCCCCCCCCACCTTATCACCTGACTCTCCTCCTAGAGCACCGTTAGGCGCTTTCACACCGGAGTACTTTTCCCAGGAATAGTTCCGATAGTTCCTGGGATTTTGCGTTCACACCAAAAAGATCTGGAACTAGAACTTTTTTTTTTGAGAACCTTTTCACCCCTTTTCAGTCCCTGCTAGAGAGCAAGGACTTTCCTGGGGAGGAAAAGGTTCCAATTTCTGATTGGCTGGGCGAATTGTGAAGCCGCCATTTTATTTGCTCACATTAGCATTATTAGCATTAGCCCAGCGCACCAACGGAGAGAGACTAACTTATGGCAATACAAAAAAAAACATGGGAGCAGTGGAGTGATGAGGAGGTGTTGGCGCTTCTGGCGATTTACTCGGAAGGCTTCAGCAGAAGCTGCTGGGAGTCCCAGCAGCTTCTACTGAAGCCAGTCCCCAACTCCGGGGACTTCCGGCCGGGGACTTCGGGTGGCAGTATACGCCGTGAAGTTGTTTGCGGCCTGCCAGTAAACCCAAAGCAGAAGAAGAAGAAGTGACGTCAGCGGCTCCCCCAGGGACTTATTCCGGTGTGAACGAGATTTACTAGAAAGTTCCAGGAAATAAAAGTTCCGGGAACTATTCCTGGGAAAAGTACTCCGGTGTGAAAGCGCCTAATGTGTTCTTTGTAACCAAATCTCTCTCAGAGGGGCGTGGGGAGTGGCTCCTTATTTTCATCTAAGGTAACAGACAGAGAATCAGCACTTTTGAAACAGGGCTGAAACAGAGGGGATTATGGGTAATGCTGCAATGATCTGTTTGGTGATTCAGCCAATCAGAGACAGGCTCTGTATATATCTGAGACCTGTGATATATTGATGAGAAACAGTATAATAGGGGACCTTTAAAATGTCCGTACCAGTTTTCAACGTCCAAGGCGATGTCTTTAAAGATCTAGAGTTTTAAGTTATTTACTTTAATATGATATAAACGGAGATAAGCAGAACATCTCAAGAGGCTGGACACCACCTCTTCTGACATTTCTGACATGACAGACATTTTGTCAGTATTAAAGTAGAATGTCTTGCCTGCATGACGCCGGCCTGCTCCTCCTCAGCTTGTGTTGTGAGGATGTGGATGTGGATCTGCTGCTGCAGCTGGCTCTGGGTGAGGGGGGGGAAGCAGCCGTGCAGCCGGCGGCCCTGCAGCAGCAGAGAGGTTCGCTTCTGCAGCTGCAGCCAGCGAGAGGACGCTTCTCTGTGCAACCTCCAGGAGCAACACTGTTCACCGCTGTTATCCTCCCCTGAGAACCACAACACAGGGAGACATGTTTAGAATCACATGCATGCATACAGCAACAGGAACTAGAGACGATGGGTGGGGTTAAGTCACTTTTTTATATGAATACTGCAGCTTTAGGTCAACCTCAAAATTCTGAAAAAATTTCAACATTTTGAGAAAAGTCAAAATTAGGAGGGAAAGCCTCAATTCTAAGAAAAAGTCTGATTTCTGAAAAAAAGTCCATATCATAAGAAAAATCTAAATGATAGACTTTGGGCGGGGTTAAGTCACTCTTTTATATGAATACTGCAGCTTGGGTCAAATGAAGTGAAATCCAAACAGTCACATTAAAAAAACTAGAATAAATGTCAGTGCTACTACCTGTGATATGATGCTCAATACATGTGAAGTCAGAGGGTGAATCCTGAGAGACATCAGAAGTGTTGCTGATCTCCAGGAAGAGTCCACAAGAAACACACATCTACCACAGAAGAAGAAGCAGAAGAAGAAGCAGAAGAAGAATTGCAACAGAACTGTTTGAATGAACATATGTTTGATAGGAAATGGTGTCTAAAAACATCATTAAGATGCAGTGTAGCTAAAGACAGATCTCCCCCTACTCAGGGCAGTTTCTTCCTATAGGCGGACTATTCAGATGCATAGGGCCCCCTGAGGGAAGATTACACAAATGAAGCCGCTGACGTCACTTCTTCCTCTGCTGCTTTGGGTTTACTGGCAGGCCGCAAACCACTTCACGGTGTATACTGCCACCCGAAGTCCCCGGCCGGAAGTAAATCGCTAGAACGCAGACACCTCCTCATTACTCCACCGCTCCCATGTTTTTTTTTGTGTTGCCATAAGTTATTCTCTCTCCGTTGGTGTGCGGGGCTAATGCTAATGCTAATAATGCTAATGCCAGCAAATACAATGGCAGCTTCGTGGTTTGCAATTCGCCCAGCCAATCAGAAATTGGTACTTTTTTCACCCAGGATAGTCCCACCTCTCTAGCAGGCACTAAACATGGGGGTAAAAGTTATCTGAACTAAGTTCTCTTTTTGGTGTGAACGCAAAATTCCAGGCACTAACGCAGGGGTGCCCATTACGTCGATCAACCGTTCGATCGCAAAGGTAGTGTGGGTAGATCGCATGGCATTGAAAAAAATATATATATATATTATTTTTTTTTTAAAGTTAGCCTATCATCCATCCTTACTATGGCATTTGCCACTTGATTGACGTACAGGTAAGCCAGTCTGAGTTGTATTGTGTCATACGGGTTCATGCAGTTATGAGGGGGCCTCACCTCCTCATCTGAAGCGCAAATGCAAGCACATTTTATCCGCCGTTTACTCCACTAGCACCCCCCCCCCCCGCGCGTTCGCGACACAGATTGGGCAGGGGCGGCCCTGTAGGTAGATCTTTTGGGCTTGGTCATTTTAAAAGTAGCTCCCAAGCTGAAAAAGTGTGGGCACCCCTGCACTAACGGAACTAAACGGGAAAAGTACGGGGAAAAGTACTCCGGTGTGAAAGCGCCTAATGTAGTTAAAAAACTGTAAAAACTAGGGCCCCCAAATAGCATCTTGCATAGGGCCCCCAAAAAGCTAGAAACGGCCCTGCCCCTACTGCAGATGAAACTTAGACCAAGGCTTTACATGTGTGCAAAAACCTGTATAACACACTACAGGAAAGACAACATCCCCCAAAACAGAAAAGGGACTCTTTAATGGTTTTTACTAATCAGTCTAGTCATTCTTCTAGTGCAAACATTTTAAGAAAGATAATATATTTTGCTCTCACTTTTGCAGGGATGCAAACTCATCAGGTATGAAAAAGGATCCGAGCCCCCCCACCCCACGGAATATCGGCTTTAAAATGAGGAATAACAGGATGTTAGCAGTCACAACAACTAAAGCAGTTAATAATAACAGAAACGCCAAAGAGTCACATCTAATAGAAATATATAAAAGCATTTATTTTAATTGTGTAGCAGTCAGTTTATAATTTTGGCAGCACTGTTGAGCATTTTGAAAATGTATTTTCATGCCTCTGTGCAAGGCTGTCTTTCTATCTTTATAGCCAGTGGTGTAAAGTAACTAAGTTCATAAACTCAAGTACTATACTTGGGTACAATTTTTAGATACTTGTACTTTATTTAAGTATTTCAATGTTTTGCTACTTTGTTCTTCTTCTCCTCTACAGTTCAGAGGTACATGGTGTACTTTTACTCCACTACATGTATTTAATACCTTTAGTTACTTCACAGATGTGGATGAATGATGTGAAATATAATCAAGTGTTAAATCAGACTTTAGTTCCACCTGGAGTAAATCCACAAGCTACCCTGCAGTATACAAAGTCATTCAAACTAGCTGCTAGTGATGTTACGTTCACGAACGATCCGATTCTTTTGAACGGCTCTTTGGTACGAACGAAGGGAACCGAGTCGTACTTGGTGAGAGCCGTTCTTTTTATCAATGGTTCACTGTCTGCCATAAATCCACTCGCCTTTACGGGAACTTGCTTTCCTGAATGCACATTTGCCGTAGATGATGGCATAACGCGTGCTGCTTGAGTAGTAGTTTGGCTGAGAGATGTAGCAAGTTATACATTTTTCTGTGAGAAAAAGTAGATTTCTGGCAATACAGTCAATCCTTATCCTGGTGATTATTTCGCAGATAAACCTATTAACCCCGCCCCCTTTAAAAAAACGGCTCTTTTCCTACACTCTGGTACTTCTACTTTTACTCAAGTGCAAGACCTGAGTACTTCTACTTTTACTCAAGTACAAGATCTGAGTACTTCAACTTTTACTCAAGTACAAGATCTGAGTACTTCTACTTTTACTCAAGTACAATATCTGAGTACTTCTACTTTTACTCAAGTACAAGATCTGAGTACTTCTACTTTTACTCAAGTACAAGATCTGAGTACTTCTACTTTTACTCAAGTACAAGATCTGAGTACTTCTACTTTTACTCAAGTACAAGATCTGAGTACTTCTACTTTTACTCAAGTACAAGATCTGAGTACTTCTACTTTTACTCAAGTACAATATCTGAGTACTTCTACTTTTACTCAAGTACAAGATCTGAGTACTTCTACTTTTACTCAAGTACAAGATCTGAGTACTTCAACTTTTACTCAAGTACAAGATCTGAGTACTTCTACTTTTACTCAAGTACAATATCTGAGTACTTCTACTTTTACTCAAGTACAAGATCTGAGTACTTCAACTTTTACTCAAGTACAATATCTGAGTACTTCAACTTTTACTCAAGTACAATATCTGAGTACTTCTACTTTTACTCAAGTACAAGACCTGAGTACTTCTACTTTTACTCAAGTACAATATCTGAGTACTTTGACTTTTACTCAAGTACAAGACCTGAGTACTTCTACTTTTACTAAAGTACCAGATCTGAGTACTTCTACTTTTACTCAAGTGCAAGATCTGAGTACTTCTACTTTTACTGAAGTACAAGATCTGAGTACTTCTACTTTTACTCAAGTACAAGATCTGAGTACTTCTACTTTTACTGAAGTACAATATCTGAGTACTTCTACTTTTACTAAAGTACCAGATCTGAGTACTTCTACTTTTACTCTAGTACAATATCTATACTTATACCACCTCCGTTTATAGCCTATGAAAAAACTATTAGAAAACGAAGGCTAAAGCTAACGTTAGCAGATCGTGACAATGTATGCTAGTTAGCTAGCTCAACGATTCATTAAATAATATTGCGACAGAAACACTTTTCAGTGCACATCACGCTCTGCTGCTCCGAACACCCCGTTCTAACCAGCGGTCCAGTCTGTGCCACAGTGACTCCGGACCGCACAGTTAATATTAACGAACGCACCGTAGGTAATGTAGCTGCTGGAGTTAGACCCTCATCACGGAGCAGCACAGTTCAGCCGACAGACAGGAAGACTCGAGCACACAGCTCGCGCTTCATTATAATATATAAAAAAATAACACCATGCGCATCATGATGGCACATAAAAAAGTCAAAATTCTAAGAAAAAAGTCAAAATGTATATGAGATGTAAATCCCTTTATAGAGGACATACGGAGTGGTTCTTTGATGCGGCTGCACTGGATGGATAATGCAGTTGTATTTCTAACAACACAAACTGTGATTTACCTGTATTACAGAGTCTTTTACAGTCAGTATGGCTCCGCTCACAGCTTCCTGCAGCAGATGTGTGGGGGGGTCCACCGTCAGCTGATCATCCCTGAGACTCAGCTCAGTGTGGAACAAACAGCCCTCACGTTCACCTCTCTAACACACAGAAACACACAAACAGCATTTCATTTATTGCATGATTACATGTTCATTCAATTCATCGTCTGCTGTTGTTTAGCAGGCGGTACCGAAGCATCAGGACTGAAACCACCAGACTCAGGGACAGTTTCATACCACAGGAAATAAGAACTGAACACCTGAACTTTTGAAAGAACATCCATAAACATTCATCTGTTCAAATGATGTATCTCATATATCATATTCCATTTACTTGTATATAGACTCTTCTTGCACTATTTCTGTTTTATTTGTCCTATGTATATGTTGCACTGTGGACATATCTACACTGTAGCTACTGAACAAATGACAATAAAGCCTTGAATTGAATTGAAATATTTAGTCTTTCTGATGCTTTCTTCATGATTCCATAGTAATAAAACGTGTTGTATCCATATCATTTGCTGGTGAAAGCTGAAAAGTGACAAAGGTATTCATTTGTAATTCAGTAAGAGCGGTTAATGCAGCCCCCCTCTCACCTTCAGGACCCTGCTGGTGAACTGAGTGAGGTCCTGAGTGATGAGAGAGACGATGCTCTGCACGGTGATGGTGTTGATGAGAGCAGAGAAGCTGCCCAGCCTCTGCAGGACGCTCTCAGACCTGCTGAGCTGTGAGAGAAGCTGCTGCTGGTGGAGCAGCTGGCGGTGCAGCGGCTCAACGCTTCTGCTCGGCTTCAGACTGAACTCCAGGTGCAGCTGCAGCTCCTGCTGAGTCCTGTAGCTGTGCTCCCTCACCTGCAGGAAGAAACAAGTTAGATTAGATCCTCCCTCACCTGAGGCCTGTACTACAAAGACGGATTTTCGCTTAGCGAGCTAACTTCAGGGTAAACTCTGAGTTTCCGGTCCTACGGCGCTGGTTCTCTTCTTACCGGGGTCGATCTCCATGGTAACTTATGCTGAACGGCTAACCTGCTCCGGAGCTAAGAGATCAACTCAGTGAAAGCACCGCCTGCTGACCAATCAGAGCTCAGTGTGCGGAGTTTAAAGTGATCAAGTCATAATACAGAAAAACTGCCGTTGCAGGAAAGACGGCCGGCAAAAATCACCGACTGTGTGAACGTGAAAATTAATAGAATATCCCCTCCCATCTTCAGAGCAATCTGACTATTATAACATTAGCGTTAAGAAAGCTTAATTAAATATCTACCACAACATAAGTAACCGGATCAGAGTAACATTACGTACAGTCCGCGGCACTGTGAGTGCAGACGGCGATGTGTCCCATTATCATTCATATCATATCACATCATAATGTATCATATATTTCCTTATCTGAGTCAGCTGAGCCGTATCTGGCCGTGCAACACTCACAGTGTCACATACTGTATGCAGAAGTATTATTTTAAGCAACACATTAAGTTGATGAAACACTCGAGTCAAATGTAATTAAAGTCAGATCGTGTCTTAGACGGGGCAGTGATATCATAAACCTGTTAATGTACGCATTCAAACACTTTTTCTGTTACCAGCTGTATTCACCTTGCAGCTGCAGCTATGTGGCTTTGATCCTGGATAAAGTGTTTAAGTCATGGATGTTTAAAGTTTAACTTCTTCATATGTCTAATATTATAGTTGACTTTTCATTCAGGAAGTATGACGCTGCGCTGCCAGTACGCTTGTCCATGTTTGTGATTGGTCGAATGCTCCAAATACCACCCCTTTCATGTGAACGCGCACCTAACTAGATAGGACACGGCTGGCTTGAGCGATCCACTTGATAACCAGCGTCATAGGACCGCTTACCCCTAGATTCCACCGGGTCCGTCTGCGGCGCGTTACGGGCGCGTTACGGGCGCGTTACGGGCGCGTTACGGGCGCGTTACGGGCGCGTTACGGGCGCGTTACGGCTGCGCCGCGGTGCTCACGGCGATCGCGGCCACTCTAGTCAATGGGTGTTATTCCACCACACGCGGCGCGTTACGGCTCAGAAGCGTCCCAGAAGCGGCTCGGCGCAGGGCTCCTCTAAAATTAGGATCGAATCCTATTTTTGTCGCGGAGCAGCCGTAAGGTAAGGTCGGGCAGGCAGGAAGTGGAACGTTCAGAGCATATATAGCATATATATATAGATATATACACACACACAAACTAATTTTGCAGACCCTATCCCTCCGTAGTCTTTCAAGTAGGAGGAGAAATGCCAGCGTTCTCCTCCGGTTTACAGGCACTGTGTAAATTATATATATAGAATAATTATGATGATGAATGCATTTTTTTACCACTAAAATACAGCAACACATCTTTGATGTCGTTTATAACTGGAATATTACAGGTATTATTAACTTTGTCTGTACAAAGTAGCCTGTCCAGGAAATATGCCCAAATCAACAAAAACTGCGAGCCGGCAGGCAAGACGCTCCGCTTCTGAAATGCTTCTGAAACGCGCCCGGTAGGGTATGACGCCGGAGGAGGCCGGACCAAAACGCGGCGCAGCCGTAACGCGGCGCAGACGGACCCGGTGGAATCTAGGGGTTAGCGAGAGCGCGTATGTTTTGGATTAGGCCAACCGGATAACTCAAACATATCCAGGTTATGTTGAACCGGCTTCGTCGTACAGGCCTCAGATGCATTTATTTTGTTATTGTCCATATGTTGCAAGTCTGTGATCAAAGATTCAAAATTGGCAGAAGACACTCAATATTGAATTTACATGTACACCCTTTAATATTCGAAGAGTTTGAAGAGAAGATAAAAAATAAATCAAAGGCTCAACACGCCATGAAATGTGAAATAATGAGCTCTAACGAAGAGTAAATAAGGAAAGGAACAATAAATATGCCATGTTGTGTTTTTGGTGGTTTTTGGTTGTCAACCTATTTTTGTTTGTGAAATGTTGAAGTGATCCAACTGACTGTATCTTTATTTCTTCTATTTTGTAAAAATTCGAAGAAAAAATCAGATTTCTGCAAAAAAGTAAAAATGATGGAAAAAAAGTCAGAATTCTGAGAAAAATGTATAAATTATGAGAAAAAGTCAACATTTTAAGAAAAAGTCAACATTTTAAGAAAAAAACTAAAAATTCTGAAAAGCAGTCAAAACTATAAGAAAAAGTCTGATTTCCAAAAAGTCAAAATTCTGAGAAGTCAAAGTTCTCTCAGAACAATTCCCAAATAAAAAATCACTGCTGAAAGTTACAAACAGTTGGTGAAGGAGGCTCAAAGCTGTATTACAGAAATATTCTTAAAAATACTTAATGCTCTCTGAAAAAAGCACATTTTCACACCAAAGCATGGGTCCTAAACCCAAAGCTTGACCTTAACTGCAGCTGATCTTTCAAAGCACAACCAGCTGTATGAAGCAGAACGTTATCTGGTGCATATAACATCAAGCTGCTGCCAGACTTGATAGATTACAAACTATTGTCAGCTATCAAAGCTGTTAGATTTTGAATGCACTTATTCCTACCTTATTTAGGATGGCAGCACGGTGCTGTGATAACTTCTCTAATATCTGCAGACACTCCTGACTCATGGTCATCAGAACATCCTTAAATTCCAGCAAAGTGAAAGATGTATTCTCCTCCTGAGGCAGCCAGTGGGTCCCTTTCACCTCCTCAATGGTTCTAGAGAAGATTTAGTGTCATGACCAGGTTATCTGAACAACCAGTGTTAAAGCTTATCACAGTATTGATGCACTTAAACAGAACGTTTTTATTATTAGTTATTAGTTATGTATTGGTCTGCACAGTGTGACTCACCTGTTGAACAGAAGAAGAGCATTTCTGAACTGAGGCACAGCGATAAGCAGAACATCTTGAAGATCCTTACACCTGCGCTGAAAGATGACTTTACGGACATTTCTCCGCCACCTGCAAAAGAAGCGTAGTGCCTCTACTTTAAAGAGTCCTCTCCTGCTGATGTTCAGGTGTATATCAGTATGTAGTGTCTCTACTTTAAAGAGTTCTCTCCTGCTGATGTTCAGGTGTATATCAGTATGTAGTGTCTCTACTTTAAAGAGTCCTCTCCTGCTGATATTCAGGTGTATATCAGTATGTAGTGTCTCTACTTTAAAGAGTCCACTCCTGCTGATGTTCAGGTGTATATCAGTATGTAGTGCCTCTACTTTAAAGAGTCCTCTCCTGCTGATGTTCAGGTGTATATCAGTGTGTAGTGTCTCTACTTTAAAGAGTCCTCTCCTGCTGATGTTCAGGTGTATATCAGTATGTAGTGTCTTTAAAGAGTCCTCACCTGCTGATGTTCAGGTGTATATCAGTATGTAGTGTCTCTACTTTAAAGAGTCCTCTCCTGCTGATGTTCAGGTGTATATCAGTATGTAGTGTCTCTACTTTAAAGAGTCCTCTCCTGCTGATGTTCAGGTGTATATCAGTATGTAGTGTCTCTACTTTAAAGAGTCCTCTCCTGCTGATGTTCAGGTGTATATCAGTATGTAGTGTCTCTACTTTAAAGAGTTCCTCCCTGCTGATGTTCAGGTGTATATCAGTATGTAGTGTCTCTACTTTAAAGAGTCCTCTCCTGCTGATGTTCAGGTGTATATCAGTATGTAAGTGTCTCTACTTTAAAGAGTCCTCTCCCTGCTGATGTTCAGGTGTATATCAGTATGTAGTGTCTCTACTTTAAAGAGTCCTCTCCTGCTGATGTTCAGGTGTATATCAGTATGTAGTGTCTCTACTTTAAAGAGTCCTCTCCTGCTGATGTTCAGGTGTATATCAGTATGTAGTGTCTCTACTTTAAAGAGTCCTCTCCTGCTGATGTTCAGGTTGTATATCAGTATGTAGTGTCTCTACTTTAAAGAGTCCTCTCCTGCTGATGTTCAGGTGTAATCAGTGTGTAAGTGTCTCTACTTTAAAGAGTCCTTCCTGCTGATGTTCAGGTGTATATCAGTATGTAGTGTCTCTACTTTAAAGAGTCCTCTCCGGCTGATGTTCAGGTGTATATCAGTATGTAGTGTCTCTACTTTAAAGAGTCCTCTCATGTTGATGTTCAGGTGTATATCAGTATGTAGTGTCTCTACTTTAAAGAGTCCTCTCCTGCTGATGTTCAGGTGTATATCAGTATGTAGTGTCTTTAAAGAGTCCTCACCTGCTGATGTTCAGGTGTATATCAGTATGTAGTGTCTCTAGCTTTAAAGAGTCCTCTCCTGCTGATGTTCAGGTGTATATCAGTATGTAGGTCTCTACTTTAAAGAGTCCTCTCCGGCTGATGTTCAGGTTGTATATCAGTATGTAGTGTCTCCGCTTAAAGAGTCCTCTCCTGCTGATGTTCAGGTGTATATCAGTATGTAGTGTCTCTACTTTAAAGAGTCCTCTCCTGCTGATGTTCAGGTGTATATCAGTATGTAGTGTCTCTACTTTAAAGAGTCCTCTCCTGCTGATGTTCAGGTGTATATCAGTATGTAGTGTCTCTACTTTAAAGAGTCCTCTCCTGCTGATGTTCAGGTGTATATCAGTATGTAGTGTCTCTACTTTAAAGAGTCCTCTCCTGCTGATGTTCAGGTGTATATCAGTATGTAGTGTCTCTACTTTAAAGAGTCCTCTCCTGCTGATGTTCAGGTGTATATCAGTATGTAGTGTCTCTACTTTAAAGAGTCCTCTCCTGCTGATGTTCAGGTGTATATCAGTATGTAGTGTCTCTACTTTAAAGAGTCCTCTCCTGCTGATGTTCAGGTGTATATCAGTATGTAGTGTCTCTACTTTAAAGAGTCCTCTCCTGCTGATGTTCAGGTGTATATCAGTATGTAGTGTCTCTACTTTAAAGAGTCCTCTCCTGCTGATGTTCAGGTGTATATCAGTATGTAGTGTCTCTACTTTAAAGAGTCCTCTCCTGCTGATGTTCAGGTGTATATCAGTATGTAGTGTCTCTACTTTAAAGAGTCCTCTCCTGCTGATGTTCAGGTGTATATCAGTATGTAGTGTCTCTACTTTAAAGAGTCCTCTCCTGCTGATGTTCAGGTGTATATCAGTATGTAGTATCTCTACTTTAAAGAGTCCTCTCCAGCTGATGTTCAGGTGTATATCAGTATGTAGTGTCTCTACTTTAAAGAGTCCTCTCCTGCTGATGTTCAGGTGTATATCAGTATGTAGTGCCTCTACTTTAAAGAGTCCTCTCCTGCTGATGTTCAGGTGTATATCAGTATGTAGTGTCTCTACTTTAAAGAGTCCTCTCCTGCTGATGTTCAGGTGTATATCAGTATGTAGTGTCTCTACTTTAAAGAGTCCTCTCCTGCTGATGTTCAGGTGTATATCAGTATGTAGTGTCTCTACTTTAAAGAGTCCTCTCCTGCTGATGTTCAGGTGTATATCAGTATGTAGTGTCTCTACTTTAAAGAGTCCTCTCCGGCTGATGTTCAGGTGTATATCAGTATGTAGTGTCTCTACTTTAAAGAGTCCTCTCCTGCTGATGTTCAGGTGTATATCAGTATGTAGTGTCTCTACTTTAAAGAGTCCTCTGCTGCTGATGTTCAGGTGTATATCAGTATGTAGTGTCTCTACTTTAAAGAGTCCTCTGCTGCTGATGTTCAGGTGTATATCAGTATGTAGTGTCTCTACTTTAAAGAGTCCTCTCCGGCTGATGTTCAGGTGTATATCAGTATGTAGTGTCTCTACTTTAAAGAGTCCTCTCCTGCTGATGTTCAGGTGTATATCAGTATGTAGTGTCTCTCCTTTAAAGAGTCCTCTGCTGCTGATGTTCAGGTGTATATCAGTATGTAGTGTCTCTACTTTAAAGAGTCCTCTCCTGCTGATGTTCAGGTGTATATCAGTATGTAGTGTCTCTACTTTAAAGAGTCCTCTCCTGCTGATGTTCAGGTGTATATCAGTATGTAGTGTCTCTCCTTTAAAGAGTCCTCTGCTGCTGATGTTCAGGTGTATATCAGTATGTAGTGTCTCTACTTTAAAGAGTCCTCTCCTGCTGATGTTCAGGTGTATATCACTATGTAGTGTCTCTACTTTAAAGAGTCCTCTCCTGCTGATGTTCAGGTGTATATCAGTATGTAGTGTCTCTACTTTAAAGAGTCCTCTCCTGCTGATGTTCAGGTGTATATGAGTATGTAGTGTCTCTACTTTAAAGAGTCCTCTGACCTGGTGAAAGCTCTCCTCAGTGTGAAGTCTCTGAAGAAGGGGATTTCCTGCACATCTCTCCACAGAACTGACTCTCTGAACCACTCTGACAGACTGAGCAGTCCTCCATATCCTCTTTGTGTCACATGAAGAACAGAGTGAGGAGAGAAGATGAAGTGTTCAGATCCCGCTGCACTGCAGGGCACCACCCGCAGGTCATAGGGTCTAAAGAAGGAGGAAACATTCAGATGTATTCATAGTTTAAACGCAAGAAACACCAGTTACATGTAGATGTTTTGGGCTGTTCAGCTTCCACTACATGTCTTCTTTCAGACTAGTGGAGAGAAAACACCTCAAATCCACATCCAGGAGTCTATTCCACTCTCTTTGTCTGTTTGTGTCTCGATATCCTGTTTCTACACACACACCATTCACACACTTCTTTGTTAGAGCACACAACCAAAAAGGAGCTAACTCCAAATTAAAGGATAAACCCGACAGTCAATCAAGAGAGCATTTATCAGTTCTATAACCTATTTAACTTTAAAGTCATATTTTAAAGGTCACCTATCATGCTATTTGTAGGTAATAGCATGATGGGTCTCAGATATATACAAATATATAAAAAACATGTCTCTGAAGTGTTTTGCTCCAAACACCAAACAGATCACCCATTCTAGCCATGCCTCATATCCCTCTATTTCACTTCCTGTTTCAAAAGGGCTGATTTGGGTATAAAGCTTTAAAAAGGAGGGGTCTGAGCTCATGCGGGACCCGGCAGCTACTGTCTAAACTAAATGCTGCCGTGATGAAACACCATATCATGGATTATCAAGGATTCTTTCTGAAACAGTATGGAGCTCAAAGGCTTTCTCTCTTGCCGGTTATACCACAAGGTGAGTTCCTTTTTATTTCCTGCTTCTTCACACACATGCTCTCCAGTACAGGTTAGCTCTGAGTGTTAGCGATGCTAATGTAAACACCGACCATATTACGTCCAAAACAGTCAGGCATTGTTTCTGATAGCAACGTTTCTGATAGAGCCGTGGGTCCACATTTCAGATATTACGTCATATCGGACGCAAATCTGGATCAGCTCTGTTGTTCCCCCGTTTTTAGAGATTTGGGTACGGAGGAAAAGAGAGAGGGTTTTATTTTCTGACGCTGCGTGAGTTCCCTGACACACCGGGGACACATATTTATGCATAAAAGACATAAAAAAGTGCATTTTGCATGATAGGTCCCCTTTAAATTTCAAAAATCACTGGTTTCAGCTTCTTCAATGTGCCGATTAAAGTTGAACAAATATCTGTGAGATTTGGATTGTTGGTTGGACAAAAGGAGACATTTGAAGACGTTAAAATTCCAGATTGTTTAACTTTTTTCTGACATTTTATTAACCCCACATCAGAGTATGACCGGTAAAATATGCTGAAGACCGGCAAATCCAAATCCCTCCGGTCAAAATAATTTCCCCTTAGCACAATACCGCATCAGTTGCGCCACTTATGTGACAGACAAGAAGAGTATGTGACAGACAAGAAGAGTATGTGACAGACAAGAAGAGTATGTGACAGACAAGAAGAGTCAATTATAATGTCTAACACTTAATGTGGAGAAAGAGATGTCCTGTATGGGTTGATTGTGCGTTGATCTGTTGGTAATGCCTCTGGGTTAGGGTGGGCATGTAAACAAATGCATAATGCTGCGCTATACTTTGTGGCCTCACCCGGTTGCATAGCAACGCTTATTGTTTAGGTGTCTTTTAATAAGCAGGTAGTCATATCATTAGCTAGAACTAGCTAGATCTGATCAATATGGACATAAACGCGAGTCTAATCTGACGGGAGAGAGAGATCAGCTGCTGCTGACAAGTCGACACGCAGCTCTGCATGATCACCTGCAGCGGTGAGCGGAGCAACAAACACACTTCAGGTTAGAACATCACACGTAGCTATTTTAATTACCTCTCAAACTACCTAAACTAGTTATAGATACGTTTAGTTTTACTGTCGGGTCACTCATTACTGATCCGCGAGCTGCATGATACTGACGGGCTGTCAGGAGAGGGAGAGAGCGCTCCGTTTATTATTCCCGTGTTTTAAGTTACTGTACACTTTTGAATAATGTAGTTAATCTATATTTTGTTTGTTTAATATCGAATCATATCAATTTGTTTCAAAGCTCAATAAATAACAAAGAAGACCTTTGACCGGCACTGTTCTTATTTTGTCCTGAAGATTTCAACTTTAACGGACATGTTGACCGGCAAAAAAATATTCTAACGGGAACTCTGCTCCACATGTCGTTACTGTCTCACTTTACTACAATCTAAAAGCCTCAATCTCAATGCTTATTATTTAGACACTCTTTATAACTACAAACATGCAGGAAATGGCTTCTTATGGCAGATGTTTCTAATGTATGCAGGGACACAAAGAGACTTCCTCTGTGGAAACCTTTGACTAATAAGTCAACAACATGAATATGAACCTGGCTCTATCACATGATCACATCTCTATAGGATTTCTATACAAACGTGTGCCAGATATCTGTTTGAGTTACCTGTAAGAGTCTCCCTCCACTTCCTTCAGGTAGAACAGCTCCAGCTCTCGTCTGCCTCTCCTCTCGGTGAACATTTGAAACACCTCTGTACCGCTGAGAGGATCTGGAGCTGGTTTCCCATTCTTCACAGCCGTTATCTTGTTATCCCTACATGTTGGGACTTTGATTGATTCAGCTTTCTCTGTGAGACTGAGACAATAAAACAGAGTGTAAACAAACAGAGTGTAAACAAACAGAGTGTATGTAACGCAGTGTGTCGAAGGCCTGCCATGACACACTTTGTCCAGTTACATACCGTTATTATTGGTGTGATAAAAGTATTGTATCTATAAAATAAATCAGCAAAATATGTAACATTAGATAAATAAGGAATCTGTCAAAGCTCTGGGAGGAAAGTGAGAAAAACATTTGGTGATCATTTTGAATATTGCACATTTCTGTATAATAATACCTCTTCTCCACAGCCCTCCACTTTAAAATAAATTATACTGTACATTGTCATATATTCACTGTACTACTTTTTTTTATGTTTCTTCTTTTGTTTAATGTGAAATTGTTTATAAAATATTTGCTTTTTATAACCTTTCTATTTGTTATCGTTATCCTACATAATTGCTTGTATATGTAAACCTTCCTGGCTATAAACCTGATTCTGAGAAAACTACAAATCAGACTCAAAATTCGGATCACCAGAATTATTATTTTGACTTGCCTCTCACAGATTTGTAGTAAAGACACTCATACCCAATGTTTGCATGAATGAATTCAAGTCTAAGTACCTGTGTGCTGTGCTCTCATCAGGAGCTCTGATGGGGATGTCGGCCCCCAGTGCTGAGGCCATCATTCGGGGTCCTTCGCTCCACTTTGTGTCCCCTCTGGCTCTCTGAGGTCCGACCTGTGCGATGAGGCGAGGGAGATCCATCACAGAGAGAGGTCTGTCAGAGGGGAGAGGGGGGAGGCTGAAGAGAGGCCTGGGCACTGAGAGAGGAGGGGGTTCAGGGGAGAGAGGAGGAAGAACAGTCCCCTTCTTCACCCTGGATCCAGACCTGGAGATGTGTTTGCTTTGAGAGGCTCCATCCGGGGATCTCTTCTCTGAGTTAGCTAACATGCTGCTCATCTCTCTGTGAACACCATCAGGAGGTTAGCTAATACAAACTGTGTGTTGGAGGTCTACATTTACTCTGGTATATCTGAAAGACAAATCAAAAAGGGAAATACATGAAGTGTGAATCATTGGCATGTAGGAACTATCCTGTGTCATGTTAACAAGCCACAAACCACATAGACAGAGATACAGATTTACATTAAGTTAGCTTTGTCTACATAGAACAAGTTATTTACTGTAACCAACAATTACTAAATTAAATAGCATCAAAACCCAATGATAAATGATTTGTGGTCTAAAAAAGCATGATATCAAAATGCTGCTTTAACAAATCCTTGGGATAAATCAAGTCTATCCATCTCTTATACAAATGCTGAACATATAACCACATTGGTGCCTTTTTCACTGCACAAAGAATACTTTGACTGTAGTACTTTGACTATATTTGACTACACAATGAATACTATACCTTAAGTACGTTCACTACATATTACTGTACAGCCAATACACTTCAAGTACTTTTACTACACAATGAATACTATACCTTAAGTACTTTCACTACATATTACTGTACAGCCAATACTTTTAGTTCAAGTACTTTTACTATATTTGACTACACAATGAATACTATACCTTAAGTACTTTCACTACATATTACTGTACAGCCAATACTTTTAGTTCAAGTACTTTTACTATATTTGACTACACAATGAATACTATACCTTAAGTACTTTCACTACATATTGCTGTACAGCCAATACTTTTACAACTACATTTACTTCAAGAACTTTAAATACATTTCACAGCAAAATGAGGACGTTTCATTTAAATATTCCACTTCAATTACATTGTATTTAAAATGAATAAATAAAGTTAGCTAACACTTTGTGGTAGCTAACGCCAGCTAGCTCTCCTAGCAGCAGTGAATCAGAGCCGTTACTCTCTCTCTCTGTTCCTCACCTGCTGTTTAAACACGGCTGAACTCCAGGTAACGTCTCCACGGTGGCAAGAAAACACTTAGTGGCGTTTCTAAAGTAAAAAAAAGTACTTTAAATCAGCTCTCTAGCTAACAGGAGGAGGACAACAAACTATCTTCAGACTTTCTTACCTGTCTGCCGTCAGGGAGTAGCCATGGAGACGGCGCGTTGCCATGGTAACTGTCAGTTAACTCCAGAAGTAAGGGAAGGTCACGTGGTTTTCAAACTGCTCATAATATTCGATTTACTGGAGTTTATTTATCCAGTGAAAGCCGGTAAGAGTCGGTAAGAGCCGGTAAGAGCCCGTAAGAACCCGGTAAGAGCCCGGTAAGAGTCGGTAAAACCACAGGAAAATCCAGTTAAACTGAAATCAGAGCAGTGCAGGAACTCCTCAAAGTATTTGTGTCAAAACTTCGTGTGTAAAAACTCTTAGAGGGCAAAGCGTAGTTTGAGTTTCTGAGGCACAAACATACATTTTAACATTTTTCATATTTTAAAGGTTTTGGCCATAGAAATTAATATGTGATTTAATATGAAGCCAACACCAATAAGGCGTTTAAAATGCTCTGATTGCTACGTACTCATCAGGAAGTCCAGAATCACCATATCCATGAAGTCCAGCAGCCTCGTGCCTTTGTTATATGGAGGGTTCTTTTTCACTGAGGAGCAGTAATCTGGGTCTGTCTCCCACCTGAACACACATCAATTCACTCAACACTGCATTTATTGTATATCTCGGCACTACAATACACACTTTTGAATGCATGAAAAAAGGCCTTAATCTCGTCAGTCAAAGTGTTTTCTATTTAATTTAACTGAAAAAGAAACCCTTACTTTACCAAGTCTCATTTTATGCAACACACATAGTTCAGATGCCAGAATGACATCTTATTTTGATCCATTTTAAACCCTTCTTTGGTCTCATATTTGGGCTTTAAGGTTTAGGGGAGGAGATATGTTGCTGCAAAAGGACATTTACATAAGCATTCATCTGTTTGCTAATTATTTATCTAACATATCATATTCCATTTACTTGTATATAGACTCTTCTTGCACTATTTCTATTTTTTATTTTGTATTTACTTGCACATCTCAAAACATTCTCTTGCACCATTTTATCTGTTATTATGTGTGTTATTTGTTTTATGTCCTATATTCATGCTGCACTGTTGGAGGAGCCTGTTGGCCACTTTATGATGTCATAACCAAGGTAACCCCCCCCCCCCCCTTATCACCTGAATCTCCTCCTAGAGCACCATTGTGTTCTTTTTAACCAAATCTCTCTCAGAGGGGCGTGGGGAGGGGCTCCTTATTTTCATCTGAAGTAACAGACAGAGAATCAGCACTTTGGAAACAGGGCTGAAACAGAGGGGATTGTGGGATGCTGCAATGATCTGTTTGGTGTTTCAGCCAATCAGAGACAGGTTCTGGATATATCTGAGACCTGTGATATATTGATGAGAAACAGTATAATAGGGGACCTTTAAACACGAGTATCTGTACTTCTACTTGAGTAAAGGATGTGTGTACTTTTGCCATCTCTGATAATGTGCACATGACAATAAAGCCTTGAATCTTGAATCTTAAGGGACTCCAGATGGCAAAAAAGTACTCAAAATGACCCCAAAGAGACAGAAAAGACCTACAAAGAAAATGTAATGAATTATTATTATTATTATTATTATTATTATTATTATTATTATTATTATTATTATTATAATGATTACTTGGCCTTCTTGATGCGGCTGTAGGAGCGTCTCCAGGGGGACCTCCAGGTGCGGCGGGGGGCCAGGGAGAGGTCGGGCAGCATGACCCCCAGAGAGGCCTCCATCAGGTGGGGCCGACCACACACTGCGTGCTCCGTGGAGCAATAGTACGAACACTGGCCGTAGAAACACACACTGCCCACTGGGGGGCGCCACAGGGGAACACAGGAGAGGAGAGAAGGAGAGAGAATAAGGAGAGCATTCACAGACACACTTTACATTACATTTAGCCAGGGTTCCAGCTATGTGGGAGCCAATGGGAGGAGAGAGTGGGCTGCTGCTGTGTGTGTGTGTGTGTGTGTGTGTGTGTGTGTGTGTGTGTGTGTGTGTGTGTGTGTGTGTGTGTGTGTGTGTGTGTGTGTGTGTGTGTGTGTGTGTGTGTGTGTGTGTGTGTGTGTGTGTGTGTGTGTGTGTGTGTGTGCGCTGGAACCCTGCATTTAGCTGACCCTTTTATCCAAAGTGACGTACAATAAGTGCAATAAACCATAAAGACTGAAACTCAGGACAACAACAACAGGAACAGCTGTTATATTTACTTAAAGTGGACTTATCATGCTATATTTAAATGATATATTGTAGGGCCATACCTATATAAGGTATATTTATACGTTTCTGTTTTCAAAATACCAAACAGATCATGCATTTTAGCCATGCCTCATTTCGCTCTATGTGCTGTTTGCTGTCTACGGGTCTGATTCTGCTGACCACGCCCCCCTGCAGGAGAGGGGAGACGTGCTCTGATCAGCTGCTGGGCTGTCAGAAGAGGGGGAGAAAAAGAGATCTCCGTCCTCCGTGTTTTATTATATAGAGTCGTTATTCATTTGTTTTAAAGCTCAATAAATAACAAAGAAGACCTTTGACCGGCACTTTTCTAATTTTAAACTTACACTTTTTAAGATTTAAACTTTAACGGACATCTTGACCGGCGAAACAAACTGAAACTGGAACTCTGCCGCACGGTCCCCTCGTTCCTTGGAAGAGGCGGAGAGGTGGGTGTTTGTCATCTGCTGGTGGACTAACCGGAGAGAATTACAGTGCTTGCCTCGACGGGGAGGGATTGCATTGAATTAAAGCAGCGGGAGCAAACGCTTGCCTCGGGGAGGGAGAAAAAAAGCCACAGCGGAGAATAAACAGAAGGGTAACCATGGTAACTATGGGCGGGAAGTCTTCTTCGCTGCTTTTGTGGCAGACTACAGCGCCACTTACAGGCCTGGCATATGTACTACAGCGTCTCCAGCGCTTTCGAGCGGCAATGGCCGGCCGTGGCCCAACCCCATATTCCCCTGATAGGTGGAGAGTTGGCCCAATAGCCGTAGCGCCACTGTCCTGACGTCAGGACAGTGTTCAAATCTGGATCAGTTTTTATCAGATCCGTTGCAGCCCCTTTTTTAGAGATTTGGGTATGGAGGAAAATAGAGAGGGTTGTGTTTTCTGACACTTGGTGAGTTCCCTGGAACACCGGGGACACATATTCATGTATACAAGACGTACAAAAGTGCATTTTGCATGATAGGTCCCCTTTAAACTTGACTTTACCTCAGGCACAAAGCAGACTCTATGCATTACATTAATGCACACAATGTTGACAATATCTGTTTTCTTTTACTCCACATATTTTATATTTTATTCTATTTCAATGTAAATACTGCAATATTTTATTTTACTATTTTTGTAATAATTGTTTTTATGTTATTATAGTTTTCTAAAAATAGTTCTCTACCTGTGTTTTACATTTTTGTCTTTATGTATGCACCACGACATCAAGTCAAATTCCTCGTACGTGTCAACCTACCTGGTGATAAACCTGATTCTGATTCTTCTAAACAAACAATAAACCATAAAGATTCAAACTCAGGACAACAACAAGAACAGCTGATATATGTACTTCAACAAACAAGACCATTGTCAGTACTGCTGCATCAGGTCAACTCTTAAGTGATCAATGAACAAGCCAAACAGGGTTTCTTTCAAGATGTGTAAACTCTCCGCTGTCCTGATATCAGTGGGAAGCTAAGAGTTATAGTTATTGGACAGAAAAAGGCTCCTTTAACCCTCCTGTGTTCGGGTCAAATCCAACCGTTTTACTACTTTCATCATATGTTGTGTTTTACGATGATATCCTCCACAGTAGCATCTAAAAATATAAACTCGCTAATCACCACTTTCATTGACTTTTGAGTGGTTTAGTCATCTTTGTAACACCTATAATGTTCCCACCAGAGGAGATGAATGGGTGACCCTGGATCATGTTCATCCATCAGATAGTTCAAACCCAAAATTCGACAAAATGTTAACTTTGGAATACATCTTCAGTGACTTGTGTTTCTATATTCACTGCAGTTCATGTACACCAGTATCCTGAGACATTGAAAACATCTTCAAAGGGAGAGGAGATGTGCTCCAGTTCATCTTTGTGAATTGAGTGCTTTAATCACTTTCTTTTAGGAGAGAGTTGTTCTTATAGTTTGTCTTAAGTTTGTTGTGCAAATTGTCTAGAGAGCCCTCTTTATTTTTGATTCATTCAAACATTAACTTTCACAAATCACTTTCCTCTCTCTATTTTTCTCCCGGTTATTTTTATATTTTGTAACTTCCCTTGGTACCCCTAGTTTAGGAGGGAACGTAACACTGTTCAATAACCTTTGGTGATGATCAATGGTTTTTATGTTGATGTGACAGCAGACCACCAGACTCATCCCACAGGCCATAAGACTGCTAAACACCTGAACTCTTTAAAGAACATCCATAACATTCATCTGTTTGCAACTTATATATATTCCAATTACTTGTATATAGACTCTCCTTGCACTATTGTATCTGTTTTATTGTGTTGCTCTGTTGGAGGAGCCTGCGACCCCAGATTTTCATTGTCACATCTACACTAACTACTAAAAGGTACCATGGGGGACAGGAATTCGTTTTGGTTTCAAGACCCTGGTTCACGGAGGATTCCAAAAAAGTCCTAGAAAGACAAGGTAAACTTAACTAATGTGCATTTAAGTAAACACTTGAAGTAAACGGTTATTTTGTGTTTTCTTTAGGGCTGTCAAGTTAATGCGTTAATAGCGCGTTAACGCAAAAAAAAATTAACGCCACTAATTATTTTAACGCGATTAACGCATGTGTATTTTTTGTCCTCGGCCGCCCCGTAGTTTCAGAGCGCATCGAGTTTAAAATACCATCTACAAGCTGATGCTGACAGCCCCGCTCCTGCTGCCCGCTTGTGGCAGACCACACTTCCACGCTCACCGGCAGGCCCGGACTGGCCATCGGGAGGACCGGGAGGGTGTGTGTATGTGTGGGGCGAGCAAGGCACACCTTACGTGTTGTTGTTGTTGTTAGCATCTGGTGCTAGCTAGCTGCGCTAATGGATATAAGGAGCTGTTTCAATGAAAACAGAGGAGCGACATTTCGCCGACAACTGCGCCGAGCACTTGACTTTATGCAGGTAGCCAGACAGTGGGACATTGTACGGAAAGTCAGCACACTCAGCACGGATAGTGCGCACAACATGATTGCAGCGTCCAGGCAGCTCCCGTTCGAGCATATATGCCTTGAGCTGCACATAGCTCCAACGATCCATCACAGTGTCTCCACATTCACACACACACACACACACACACACACACACACACACATTATTGTATGAGAGAGGTTCCAGGTTGTTGTGTTTAATATTCATGAGAATATTTGTCATTGTTCAAATGATAATAAACAAACATATAAAGCATATTTGTCCACTCATATGTTGATAAGAGTATTAAAAACTTGAAAAATATCCCTCTAAGGTACATTTAGAACAGATACAAAATGTGCGATTAATTTGCGATTAATCGCGATTAACTATTTTAATCGACTGACAGCCCTAGTTTTTTTGTAAATATTGAGTGTTCTTGAATTTTAATGTGTGTTTTTTTATACCTCGGGACTGTGGGAAACAGTATTTAGATCTTTCTGTGTGTACAAACATATTTTGAGATTGACAATAAAGTTGACTTTGACTTTTGACTTTGACTGATTTAATACAGAGGAATAGTTTCGGCGAAAACTAAAAGGTACCGTGGGGTCAGATTAGAATTCTCCAAAGGAGGGTTCGTTTAGCAGGAAACACTTGAAATAAGAAAGTAGAAAGAAAGGGAGGTCAAAGAAAACTCTTTCTGCTAAAATGTGAGCAATGATTGAGAGTCAGAGCTAAACATTTCAGATGTGTGTATCTCACACTGCACTGAAACTTGATGATCAGAGGAGGGTCAGATGATCAGAGGAGGGTTAGATGATCAGTGGAGGGTCAGATGATCAGTGGAGGGTTAGATGATCAGAGGAGGGTTAGATGATCAGTGGAGGGTCAGATGATCAGTGGAGGGTCAGATGATCAGTGGAGGGTTAGATGATCAGTGGAGGGTCAGATGATCAGTGGAGGGTTAGATGATCAGTGGAGGGTTAGATGATCAGTGGAGGGTTAGATGATCAGTGGAGGGTCAGATGATCAGTGGAGGGTTAGATGATCAGTGGAGGGTTAGATGATCAGAGGAGGGTTAGATGATCAGTGGAGGGTCAGATGATCAGTGGAGGGTTAGATGATCAGAGGAGGGTTAGATGATCAGTGGAGGGTCAGATGATCAGTGGAGGGTTAGATGATCAGTGGAGGGTTAGATGATCAGTGGAGGGTCAGATGATCAGTGGAGGGTCAGATGATCAGTGGAGGGTCAGATGATCAGAGGAGGGTCAGATGATCAGAGGAGGGTTAGATGATCAGAGGAGGGTCAGATGATCAGTGGAGGGTTAGATGATCAGAGGAGGGTTAGATGATCAGTGGAGGGTTAGATGATCAGAGGAGGGTCAGATGATCAGTGGAGGGTCAGATGATCAGAGGAGGGTCAGATGATCAGTGGAGGGGAGAGTGAGCGGTACCTGGGGAAGTGAAGAAGGTCCGAGCCAGTTTACGGTCTGTCGTCACGTCCTTAATTTCCTCCACAACATCCACCAGCCTCCCAACAACAGGGGGAACTCTCCTGAAGCCCAGCACCCTGAGGGGGAGGACGGGGGGATGTATTTGTTTGTTAAATACAATAAAAAGAGGAAGAGAGGAGAGGAGGAGGAATCAAGGAAAAGGCCAAAGGTGTCAGGGAACCACCTGGACCCCTACCATACAGACAATGAAGAACAACACACATTGACACGATAAAAACAAAAAATGCATGCCTTTGAAAAGAAGTTCACAAAGAGACACTTTGATGCAGTGTTGAAAGCATGTTTACCTGTCCAGGTGAAACGCTGCGATCTCTGCGTTGTGTCTCTCAAAGTCTGAGAAGTAGTACAAGTTGTAGTTGGTTTCTTCATCTCTCTCCTGCCTTTTCAGAGAGAGACACATTCAACATCACTTTAATGCATTTTGACACCAAGTTAAACCTCCTTTTTCTGCTTAAAGCTTTGAATAGAGCTGGGGATATATTGATATGTCAAATATTATGAAATGAGACTAGACATCGTCTTAGATTTCAGATATCATAATATATGTGTCTTTTCCTGGTGTTAAAGGTCCCATGTCATGGCCATTTCTACTGATCATAATTCCATTGTTGAGGTCTACTAGAATACATTTACATTGTTCAATGTTCCAAACTCACATTGGTTTCTCAAACAGCATCTCTGTATAGCATGTGTATTCACTCTCTGTCCTACACGCCTTGTTGGAGCTCCTTCCCCCCCTCCCTATGAGCCCACTGTGCTCTGATTGGTCAGCTCGCCCACTCTGTTCTGATGAGTCCACCACCGTTACAGCAGAACATCAGTGTTTATGTGTTACAATGGCGTTAGTTAGCAACCAGAAAATGACACCAGTAATGACAAACAGATGAAAATGCTGCGTGGGGTCTGGGTGCCGTGTTGGCGGGACGTTGCGGGGCTCGCTGCTCCGCCCTTTGAGGCTCGAGGAGCGGACAGTGAGAGCTGGGTTACTGGTGTCGTTTCCTGGTTGCTGCGTGAGGTCTGCGAGACAGCGAGACACCGTGGAACTCAGCCTGAACTCAGCCTGAGCACACACACGTGAGTGTGTGGCGAACTGTGACTGGAGATCCACGGAGCCGCGGCTGAGAAAAGATAAGGCTGAGTGTGTGTGTGAGGAGCTCCACGGATTGGTCCATTTGGACCTGGGTATCGTTACATCACCATACTCAGGAAGAAAATAATGGAAAAAGAAAATGTCCAACGAGGCGTTCTGGGGCAGCATAGACAGTTATTTTCTGTGTTAGAGTTGTACTCGCTACAGGGTGTACTTTGAGGGTTTGTGACTCTGCAGACCGTTTACATGCAGAAAAAGCTACTTAACCTGTTAAGCCCTGAGCCTGTTTTTCAGGTCTCAGGCTCGAAAATGACATTCCCAGAACAAATGACCATATCTTCACTTCTAAAAGGGTTAAATTAATAATCTTTTTTCTCAAAGTAATGATAAACCTGTGAGTTGGATGTAGAAAAGTCAGAATCAATATAGATGTTTTTTATTTTAAAGAAAATTCAGATTTTACATAGTAAAAAACTGTAAATTATAGTGTCCGTCCAAAAATTCTTTTTTACTTATAGTGAAAACCACCCTTGGATGATGGGTTAGTAGACTAAAGGCTTTAGGAATCCAAAGTACAACATATAATAAGTACCCTGTATCAAGATTGATGCAAAACAAGTGACATTTGACCTTTTTAAAGAGATTTAGCAAAAAGAAACCACTTCTGGGGTCATTTGGGTGGATTTTCCATATCTCTGGCCCCCCTTGCTCGATTTTGATGGTTGACACCTCTTTCTGACCGTTAGAGCCAATAGAATCGAAGGGGGAGTCCCCCACACACACACGTTGTGAAGAGAAGAGGTGGGGGCTTCGCGCATGTAATTTTCAGTGAACCTATCTCTAGCTTTGACATCTGGAAACGGAAAAGCAGTTTTAATGCTTATGGATTATCAGAAATCATTTCAAAGGGACACAGACACATTAGATTAACCTATGGATTAACTTCAGCAGCGTTTTTATCGTTGTAATGCCATTGAAGACCACTTTGGAGAGACTACAGAGCCAAGGTAAAAATGTTAGCATTTTTAGCTACCTAGCGTCACCCGTTTTTGCTAATAACGTCGCAAATACGTATAATTCAGTGGTAATGTCGGTGTCGTTAGATTCTGTGTCACCTCACGATGTGAAACGATGTGTTGGGTGTGGTGAAAAGATAAATAATAAGGTTTTGTGAGTGACTTTCGGTGCAGTAAGGTGTTAGCATTTTTCGCTCGTTGCTAATTCAGAGGCTCAGTGTTAGCATTGTGGGTTTTCTTTTGAAAAAAAAATTAAAATGATCAGTTAGATGAGTTTCTTCCCGTTACATGGATATAAAACATTCATAGTTTTATTAAATGAACATGCCCTCAGACACTGTTTCCTGCAAGATGTTGCGGCAGTACCCCGGTACCGGGGTCTCTCGGGCTTAACAGGTTAACACACAAGGGGACGGGTAATAACCGGAAAAGCATGACATGGGACCTTTAAAAGCTGCGTTACAGTAAAGAGATGTCAGTTTCTGAATTACAAGACCTTTCCCTTATTTGCCTTTACTTATTTATTCATTAAATCCACATTACTGATGACTATTTATCAAATTCTCATGGGGAATTTTCTTTGTAAAAGCGTCAATATTGCAAATGGCAATGTTGCAAGATCAACATTAAAGGTCCCATGTCATGCTTTTCTGGTTATTACCCGTCCCCTTGTGTGTTAAGTAGCTTTTTCTGCATGTAAACGGTCTGCAGAGTCACAAACCCTCAAAGTACACCCTGTAGGGAGTAAAACTCTAACACAGAAAAGACCTGTCTTTTTCTGCTCCAGAACGCCTCGTTGGAGATGTTCTTTTTCCATTTTTTTCTTCCGGGAACCAAGTGACGTAACGACGATCCAAATGGACCAATCCGCGGACCTCCTCACACACACACACACACTCAGCCAGCCTTATTTTTCTCAGCTGCAACTCCGCGGATTTCTCAGCCTGGACTCAGCCTGAGACACCGGGCCTCGCCGTGTCCCGCCGCCCCGCAGACCCCATGCAGCAACCAGGGAACAACACCAGCAAGCCAGCTCACACTGTCCGCTCCAGCAGCAAGCCCCACAACGTCCCGCCAACACGACGCCCAGACCCCACGCAGCATTCTCATCTGTTTGTCGTTACTGGTGTCATTTTCTGGTTGCTAACACCATTAGGCGCGTTCACACCGGAGTACTTTTCCCCGTACTTTTCCCGTTTAGTTCCGTTAGTACCCCTTATTGTGCGTTCACACCAAAAATAGTACTTAGTGCCGGGAACTTTTACCCCCATTTTTAGTGCCTGCTAGAGAGGTGGTACTATTCTGGGGAGAAAAAAGTACCAATTTCTATTGGCTGGGCGAATTGCAAACCATGCCCCGTAAAACTCTGAAAAGTTTTGTGAAGCCGCCATTGTATTTGCTGGTATTAGCATTAATAGCATTAGCATTAGCCCCGCGCACCAACGGAGAGAGAATAACTTATGGCAACACAAAAAAAAACATGGGAGCGGTGGAGTGATGAGGAGGTGTCGGCGTTCTGGCGATTTACTCGGAAGGCTTCAGTAGAAGCTGCTGGGAGTCCCAGCAGCTTCCCCAACTCAGGGGACTTCCGGCCGGGGACTTCGGGTGGCAGTATACGCCGTGAAGTGGTTTGCGGCCTGCCACTAAACCCAAAGCAGAAGAAGACGAAGTGACGTCAGTGGCTCATTTGCGTAATCTTCCCTCAGGGAACTTATTCCGGTGTGAACGTGATCTGTACTTAGTTCCATGGGGGTACTAAGTGCCGGCACTACGGCAAAGTACTAGGTGTGAAAGCGGCTATTGTAACACATAATCACTGATGTTCCGCTGTAACGGTGGTGGACTCATCAGAACAGAGTGGGCGAGCTGACCAATCAGAGCACAGTGGGCTCATAGGGAGGGGGGGGGGGGGCAGGAGCTCCAACAAGCCGTGTAGGACAGAGAGTGCACATACTTTACAGAGATGCTGTATGAGAAACCAATGTGAGTTTGGAACATTGCACAATATAAATCTATTCTAGTAGACCTCAACAATGGAATTATGATCAGTAGAAATGGCCATGACATGGGATCTTTAAGGTATTTGGTCCAAAATATCATGATATTATATTTTTCTTCATCGTGCCCAGCCCGGCTGCAACTAGCAGTTTATTTCATTGTTGATTAATCAACACATTTATCCTCGATTCATGGATTTTGTCTAGAAAATATGAGAACAAATTTGAGAAAAAATGTATTTTTTACGACCACTCCAGTCGTGTGAGTTGTCTTTTAAATATCTTGTTTTGTCAGTCAATATATTCACTTTGATATAATAAGCAGCACATCTCCAGATTAGAGAGGATAACAACTCATTTAGAATAATTACCTAAAAGATTAATGAATCATCCTAATAATTGCTGAATAATTTCTGTAAAATTGACTTGAGATGAGCAGAGATGGTCCTTGCAAGTATTTACAAAAACAATAAATGTCTCAGTTGTCTAAAGGCTAATAAATAACTAAATATGTTACCCCTTGTGCTTCATTGTGTTTATTTCCACAGATGATTCTCAGCTGTTGTGTTTCCGACTCACTTCATGGGCTTCAGCAGCGCCTCTCCGTAGTTTGTGAATGTCATCACCAGCTTCAGCTGCGTCCCCCCGGACTTCTGCACTGAAAACCAGCACAGAGAACGTTTCCATGGCAACACAGTGAACACACACACACACACACACACACACACATATGACATGCTGTGACAGAACACATTGGCCATTAATGGACACACTCAAAAACATGTGCGTCATCTCCGACATATAACAGGCTTCAAGTGTGTCACATCTCTTACACACACACACACACACACACACACACACACACACACACACACACACACACACACACACACACACACACACACACACACACACACACACACACACACACACACACACACACACACACACACACACACACACACACACACACACACACACACCACGTCTCCTGCTATATTTAGCGTGACATTGTGTTACATGCATTCATTCCCATCAGTGCTCCCAGCATCTCTCATGTGATATAGAGCATCATCACAAGTGTGCGTCACAGGATTTATCCTCAAAGTTTTTCCTGTACATGATATCCATTTATCTTTTAGAATGATATATAATTTCAGTATTTCTTCATCTTTGTTTCAACCTGTTTGTTTAAGGGCTGTCTTCTATTAATCGTTTTGTTGACTGGTCGTTTGTTTTGGTCTTAATCGTCTTTTTTAGTCCTTAAGACATTTAGTATTATTTTCATGGTGTTTAACAAATATCCCAATCCTTCACATCTCTGGTAAACAGAGGATTTTTTTGTGGAGAAACTCAGTTTTTCAGATCAGAATTCAACATTCAAGTCAGAAATCTGAGAAAATTATATAATATTTGAGGAAAAGTTATAATTCGGAAAAAGAGTCAAAATTCCGGAGAAAAGTTAACATTCCGAAAATATTGAAATTCTAAGAAAAAGTCTAAATTAAGTCAGAAATCTGGATATACATTTTTAAAGTTAAAAGTCTCAGAAAAAAAATTCTGAAAAAAAGTCAAAATTCTGAAAAAAAAGCCAAAATTCTGAAGAAAGTCAGAAATCCTGTCAAATTTGACTGGTGTCTTTGGCTCAAGGGGTAAATGGATGCCTAACAACCAGAGGGCTGGTGGTTCATCTCCCAGCATGGCAAAGTGAAGTGTTGTGGGAGGCAAGATGGCGAAAGATGCGTGTGGGTGAAATGGTAAAGATGGCGTGAGTTGGAAGGCCGGTCAACACGATACAGAAGTATAGAGGTACAGAGCGGCTGGCCAGCCTTAAGGCCCTGACACACCAAGCCGATTTCGGCCGTCGATAGATGTCTGGCCGTCGATGAGCATCCTGTCGCCCTACTCAGATTGGTGTGTCCCGCACCGTTGTGTCTTTTCGGCCGCCCCCTATCGCCGGGAGCGGAGGCTGTCGGCAAAAGAAATCACTCTGATTGGCTGTTCAGCTTAGCGAATCAGTGCATGAGAAGCGAAACGGCTATCTGCTTCCACAAGCAACAGTCCAAGGGCTGATACCGCCAGTACCGCAGTAAACATGTTTTCGATTATAAGTCGCTATGTGAAACAGTCTGTGAAACCGTCTGTGATGGACGTGAGTGAAAATGGAACGCACAGGCAGTCTGTCTTCTGGTTGCCTCTTTTGAATGATGAATACACACTACCGCCGCCTGCTGGTAAGGAGAGTTATTGCCACTCACGCATGCACAGTGCGTACGTGCTACTTGGCCGTCGGCTGAAGTCTTTGCGGTGTGTTCCAGTGCGACTGTTTGGCCAAGGCGCAGGAGACGTGAGGCGACACAACAGTCGGGTCCATCGGGACGTGTTCTTTGGTGTCAGTTTGGCGTGTCAGGGCCTTAAAGGTGGGGTAGGTAATTTTGGAGAAACCAGCTCGAGTGCGCTAGAATTTGAAAATACACAGCCGGAAAAATCTGCCACTTCCTTACAGAGCCCCTCCTCCAACACACACGAACGCGCACATGACCAATGAGAGCACGAGATAAGTTTGTGCACAGATGGAAGGCTGACAGGCAGGTAGGCCATCCAATCATTTTAGCCGGGCCGGCTCAGATGATTGGTCGTGCTTTTTACAGTACTACAGCTTCCACAGATGATATTTTTTTATGGATTTTTTGTCAAAGCACTTCAGATATTCATTGCTATCGGGATGTTAAGAGCATTCCATGGAATATAACAAAAAGTGTATCTCGAGCCGGTTTCTCAAACTTACCTACCCCACCTTTAAGACGTGAAAAATAAACAAAGGGAACACGAACTAAATACAAATAATTTATTTTTTAAGTAAAAATACAATGAATAAATCAATTAAATACAAAAATGATATCAGTACATAAACAACGAATAATCAAATAACTAATATTGATAACATTAATAATATTTAAATAAATGATAATAAAAACAATAATAACAAAATAATACAAAAAGAAAGAAACATTTGTAATAACTACATCAAAAAGAATAATGACACAAAATAAAATAATATATATACATAAAAAAAACACAATAAAACAACTTAATAAATAAAAATGAAATAAATACGAAAACAATAAAATAATAATTCAAAACACAATAATTATATTTAAAATAATAATAATAGTTCAAAAATAAAACATTGAAACGCCCTCCGGGGGACAGTCCCCCTGCGGTGAGGAGGGGCGGCCGGGCTGGCCAGCCATAGGGAAACATAAATTAAACAATAATATAAAACATAATACAAATGAAGCTCAGCGCAAGTTCAACCAGAAAGACGTTCTTTACTCATTAATTTACTATGTCAATTACCACTCTCTCTCCTCTCAATAAGTGATCGGGGGCGTCACTCCCCAGCTTAACCAATCACTAAGCTCTATTCTCACAAGCCCATCATAGCGCTCTGCTAAACCTTTAAAATCTGCTCTCCCCTCTGACAGCTGTCATTTCAGGTGACTCGACGCAACCCTCCTCCCCCCCTTTTCACCTCCTGTCCCTCTGAATCCAGGGTCAAGCTAAGCCCCTCCCCTTCAGACCGAACCCAACTATCCATTCACCACCACCAGGGTCAAGCTAAGCCCCTCCCCTTCAGACCGACTCAACTATTCATTCACCACCACCAGGGTCAAGCTAAGCCCCTCCCCTTCAGACCGACCCAACTATTCATTCACCACCACCAGTGTCTAGACCCCGGGGGGTTTCATCGGATCGGTTCTCCCCTCCCGAATGATACTCCTGCCCAACGGGACCTAATTGCCAAAACCCCATTAGGCCTACATTCATTTGTGTATTCCTGGCAATAAATATGTATTCTTATCAAAACCGTCTCTGCTGATTGAATTATCATTATCCTGTTTAATCTATGACATTTTACGAGGAGCCAGGAAGATTTACATTTCGGTTCTGTAGATTTCGTTCATCGTTTGAATTTGTAACGTCACGTCTGGAGACCTGTTTAAGTCCGGTTAGCTCAGCTGGTTAGAGCGTGGTGCTAATACCGCCAAGGTCGCGGGTTCGATCCCCGTACTGGACAAAAGTACTTTTTCCTCACTCGCAAAGTTAGTAACATTTGACCAGAGTATCAAAACTGGGGGAAAAAAGGGAATCAAAAAAGTAAATATCTGCACATAAGTGTCTATTTAAACACGGAACAATTTTACGGGTTAAAAAAGTATTTCTACAAATGAAAAATGACATTTAAAATATAAATAAATGCATACGAAATAAATCATTAAGTAAATAAAAATACAAACCTAAATACAACAATTCTGAGAAAAAGTCAAAATTCGACAAAAAGGTTAAAATTCTCAAAAAAATGAAATTCTGAGAAAAAGTCAAGATTCAGACCGAAATCTGGAAAAATATAAAAAATCTGAGGAAAAGTTAAAAGTCTCATAATATTAAAATTCTGAAACAAAGTCAAAATTCCCGAGAAAATAAAAAAATGCTCAAAAAATTTAAATTCTAAGAAAAAGTCAAGTTTCAGGGAAAAAAGTCAAAAATCTGAGAAAAAAAGTCAGAAATCTGAGAAAAATTTAAACATTCTGAGAAACACACTAAAAGAGAGGCAATGCCAGAAAGAGCAGAATAGGGCCTCTTTAATTAGAGTCTACAGCAGGGATGGGCAAATGGCGGCCCCAGCAGGCATGTTGTTATGCCTGCTGGGACGTTAAAGTGGACCTATCATGCTATATTATAATAATATAGTGTAGGACCATACCTATATAAGGCATATTTATACTTTTTCTTTTTCAAAATACCAAACAGATCATGCATTTCGCTCAATTTGCACTTTTTTAGCTCTGTTTTTGCAAGGGTTGATTCTGTGAGCAACAGCACCATCTAGAGGCCTGGCATATGTACTACAGCGTCTCCAGCGCTTTCGAACGGCAATGGCCGTGGCTGTCTCCTCCTGATTGGTGGAGTTGGCCCAATAGCCGTAGCGCCACCGTCCTGACGTCAGGACAGTGTTCAAATCTGGATCAGTTTTTATCAGATCCGTTGCAGCCCCTTTTTTAGAGATTTGGGTATGGAGGAAAATAGAGAGGGTTGTGTTTTCTGACACTTGGTGAGTTCCCTGGAACACCGGGGACACATATTCATGTAGAAAAGACGTACAAAAGTGCATTTTGCATGATAGGTCCCCTTTAAGTTACCGCTTGTAATTATGCTTTTACAAGCTTCAAAGTTGTATTTATCATCTGAATTTGGCGAAACAAGTTTAATATTCTAAAAACCAAGACTTTGTTTATTTGAAATCAGATGAAAACAAACTGTCACAGACCCTGCCGTGTTATCTATGATTACTATACGCTTTACATTCATAATTTCAGCGGGAGGGAGGGGGAGCGGCGCTGAGGATTGACAGGTGTCTGTGTGGACATTCCCCTTATTGTGAGTCAGCAGAGGCTACAAGTGTCTTAGGTTCAAGTTAGACAACTAATGTCTGGGTTAGTGTTCATGACTTCATGTTTATGTCATCTTAATGTTCATCTCAATGCACACACATTTTCCGTGCTTTCCAATAGTTTAAAATAGTTGTATTCCACTGTTAAATAACCTGTTCAACACAAACATGCCACTTGTCAAAATTAAATAACATTTCTGTGA